TAGACTATTAGGTAGAAAACGCGTTAAAAGCTATTAGACCTATCTCCTAGAAATAAAGTACTAACTATATAGTAAATAACTACGATAATATTATAGAAAATAAGCTAATAATTAACGACTTCGTAAAGGCTCTAAGGGCAGTTCTTAATAATATAAAGAGCCTTTAGTCTGCTATAAAGTATAGAGTTAGATTCTACGTATTCCTTAAATACGGTATTTATTATCTTCTTCTATATACCTCTTTATATATATTTCCTGGCTTATTTATCTATAATCTAAGAACCTAGTTATATATACTAGTATCTAACTAATTCTATTAAAGCCTTAATACGTTTTATATACTCTTTCTATAAAGTAAGCGAGCTTTATTACGTCTTTATACTACTATAAAAGCATTTGGTATTAGTATTCTTTAACTAACTAGGCCTTATAAAATCCTTTTCGAATATATTATTAGTATTATATATACTTTTAAGGGTACTAAAGATATAGTATCTAACTCGATAATATAAATACTAAGTTATATTATAGTTAAATTATATAATATAGTCTATATATCTAATATAAACCTATGCCTATAAGCATATTAAACTTATTAAAACTTAACTTAGACTTATCATAACATATCTATAAATTAGTTCCTAATAGCTAATTACTTTAATAACTATTATATAGTTGTATTTACTAAGGATTTTGTATTTAATAGCTTAGCTATATCTATATTTCTATAATTTATTATAGTATTATACTAACTACTACTCTACTTTTTAAGAACTTTTAGAATATCTTTAAATATAAAATAGCGCGCTTATCCTATAGTATAGTGCCTTTTAATAAAGGTTTATAGGTAAAGATATAGTAAGTTTATATAGTATATTTGTAATATATATTAGAAGAATTAGTAATATACTAAAAAGAAGACTACTATTAATAGTAATATATATTTTAGTAGCGGCTAGCTTAGTATTCTACTCTTAATACTAGATTTTATAATACGTAATATATAGGTACTAGTTATAATATATAAGTAATTTAATTAAATATTAATCGTCTTTATTTATAATAGTTATAATAGCTATACTATTAATAGTAGCTACCTTTTAATTACTCTTATATACTTAAGTCTAATTGTTAGCCTTATTTATAATTAGTATAATAATATATAAAATAACTGTATATTTTATAAGTATATTATTTATTATATACTTTATCTTATATTATAGAAAGTCGGGCTTATATAGCTAATATATATAGTATAGTATATTATATATTATAGTATATTATATATTATAGTATATTATATATTATAGTACTATAATATATATACTATAATATATAATATATATATCACACGTCTTTTAGTTATTAAAATTAATTAAGAAGAAAAAAGGGTATTATTATTAAAAAGCCCTTTATTTAAAGCGTTATCCCTTAGGGGATACAAAAACCCTAGGCGCCACCGTACATAAGTAAAAAAAAAACCCTACTAGTTATCCTCTAGAAGATCCTCGTTATTGTCGCCTATTAGGATATCTATTAGTACGCTGGTGTATATTATTATAAGATAGAGAATATCACTTACTCTCCTTGGCGGCCGCGATTAGCGCCCTTCTAAGGCGCGTAATATAGCGCGTAGGGATGCCCTCGAGGTTAAGCGTTATTAAGGTTTTATTTTTACCGGCGGGGGGATCTTCGGTAACACGTTTACGCTTATTCGAGCGCGGGGTTTCGTTAACTTCTGTTTAAGTTAGTATATTATCGTATAGCACTATAAACTAACTTACCGGCTAACGAGTAACTAGACGAGCCTACGCCGATAGTATAATTACCGTAGCCGCCTTCACCGAAGTCTTTTAGCACTATATATAATGTAAGTGTGCCTTTTCCTGCAGTATATTTATCGTACTGATAGCGGCCCCGCTTCTTATCACCGTATATTTACACGAATAACCCGGAAAGAGCCTACGAGCGTGTTATATTAAAATCAGGAAATTTAATAGCCGCGCCTTTCTAATATTTACGGCGTATAGTAATTCTACGTTTAATCTATATACTTATTAGCGTATATTATCGTACGTTAATGTGAAGATATATACGGTGGGATTGTTCTCGTTTATATACTACGAGATAGTACTGGCGCACTTCTATTTAAGCTCTATATATCGAATCGTTAGTAAACTACTATACAGAGCGTGTATAGATATATACGGTCGAGTATAAAGGTATCTAGCAGCGGGGATTCTAACGTTTCTTTTAGCTAGGTAGGGGGGGGGGGTAGTTCTTCTCTATCGATTTCTGTCGGCCACTGGTACTATTCATCGCCCGCTATTCTTACTAGAGATTATTTGCTTATGCCCTCTTACGTATAGAACCGTTTCGTCTTGTATAATAGCATATAACCTATCACGTAATAAGTTAGCCCTGATCTGGAACGGTTTTGCGATATCTTGCCTAGACCAGTATAGCTAAAGCACTAAAACTGATCTTCCGGACCTATAAAATCCGAATCTTGGCCTATTAGACCCGTATAATCGAGCCCTGATACTACCTTAGATGGATCTTGCCTGCGCGGAACCGGATATAGGGGTAACTTACTGGCCTATAGTTATCTAAAGAGTGAAAATAAGATTAGGTCTAGTGGTGGCGTTATAGTTATGGTAGTAGAAAATTTTTCCTCGTAGCTTATTAGCTTATTATTACGTTATAGACTTTTCTTTTACTACTCGTAAATGCTTACGCGGTATTATATAGCAGGTTATAAGAAATTCTCATTTATATAGGCTTTATACGTAATAGTTATAGGCGAAATCATTAACTTACTATTTACTATATTCTGATACATAAAGGTAAACAGTACTACTAAGCCTACCTTCGGCGTATACCTAGTGATACGTTATTACTATTTTTAGAAGTTGTTACAGTGTCCCCTGCGGCATGCGGTAGTAGTGGCTGGGGGCGGGTTGGGGTGCGCGGCCCCAGGGGCGGTGGTTGTCGCCCGCGGCAGTCGCCGCAAAGTAATATTAAAAAGATTTCTGAAAGTCGCAAGTCAGCACTGGATCACAAACACCAAGTCGAACAGCTGGGTTGGAGGAAACGACTTACTTTCTCGCCATGTTTTTTGTCAAAAAAAAAAAAAAAAGAAATTGGCGTGGATGGAAGAAGAGAAAACCTGGAACTGGTGTCAGGGGGCATGTCCGGAGTTATATACCTACACTGGAAAGGAGAAAAAGGGAGGTGGGCGGAAACTTGGAAAGCCAGAGCCTGAGTATCACATACGCTCCTGCTCTTCTACGTGCCTGTATGACAGATTGGCAGACCTGCACAGGGAGGTGCACCCGTAAGAGGACGTAGCTCCTACATCTCGGAAGGTAGACTCGAGCCCCTGAAGGCTGAACATACTCTAACTGCAGGTACCTTACATGTCATTCTCTGTTATAATTTGCCAGGGAAGGTCATGGTTGCTGTCATTCCTGCCAGCAGTGTCATTCGCCCCTTCTTCGTCGTACTTCGTCTCAGACTTCACCTCTCCCAAGGTCTCTCTTGCCCGTTCTTCCTCAGACTTCACCTCTCCCAAAGTCTCGTTTAACCCTTCTTCTTCCTCGGGCCTTGCCTTAGGGCAGGGCCACCAGCCCCGCAAGGGCATATCGTCATAGATACAGTTAATAAAACGGCAGTTAGGCCTAAACCACGAGAACCAGTAGACGGTGCGCCCATTATCGTCAGTTGCAACTGCGCTGGTGATATTCTCTGGGTGGAGATCAGCCAGGCGGAACCGGATTACGGCTTCTGGCGTGGGATCCGTTATCGTGGTAGGAAACCAGACGGTCAGACTCGCAGTCCAGCTTGGGTCGTCTTCAGAAGAACGGAGGCTGAAGTGTCGGCAGAGGAATTCTTCGGGGTCGCCCGAAAAGTAGCTGGGTTTCGGTCCCCACCACGGCATTTTCTTCTTATACTCGCGCGTAAGAAAACCGGCCTCCTTAATAACGTTGCTCTCGTCCCAATCAAATCCATCCCTCATCAGACGGGCCAAGTCTTCGGTGTGGAGCCACATAACAGCGACCCAGGCTGCCCCCCATTCTTTAGCTATTGTGGAATCGGAAGAAAGGCATCCAGCAGGGTAGATATTGAGTTGGAGATTTCCAGGCCGGGCTGTTATCGGAGCGGTCGTGGGATTTTGTTCCCTTCGAGGAAGCGGACCTATTCGGCTGGTGGAGGGAGGATTCGGAGGGAAACTATCCCACTCAACGGGTTTCGCGTAACCCGGGCCGATATTTTTGCCGTGCATCATCGCGTCCGGATTCTCTTCGAGGGGGGTCATCTGACTCGTCTCCGTCCCGGATATCCTTTGGTAAGAGGTCCTGCCCCCAAAGAGTTGAAGAACATACGAAAGCAAGCACATATTGATAAAGGAGTGTGAATAATTATATCCTGATGGGCCACAGGTGTTTGTGAAGTTGTGTTGTTGGATTCAGGGATGGTGTTCGTGAAGACTCAGGGTCTAGGGATGGCTTCAGATTACGGTAGCTTGGCGAGGGATGTCTCAACTCTTCCTAAGGTAAGGTATCTGGCTGATGTTCACACCAAGCAGGGGACACTTTTAGATTACCTTCGATTCTAATTACGACGTGGCAAATAAAAGGAATATAGTAGCCCTCGTAACAGGACTGCACCAACATGTTGGGAATGTTGGTCTGCTTACCTAGTGGAAAACTTACGAGGGCGGAGGTGAATGTAAGTTTCCCAGGGCGCGAGCCGGTGAGGCCACACCACACCATAATAATACTCGGTGACACGATATAGGGCGGAGACGGTTCTCCCCGTGAGGGACTTGGACTACGAGAATACATGGTAAGCCACAATTTGTGACATGCCAATACGAGGTATACGCAACGTATATACCGTGCCTTAGGTACTTTAACTCTCGAGTCGGAAACAATGATATACACGTCGTAGGGATGTTGTGTTTCTTCGGTTACCCTCCTACCCTGCCGAGGCAGGAACCTGGAAGGTTTAGATACAGTAATTACCCCTCTTCAGGCAGGTCACCTGACCTGCCAAGATAATGCTGCAGGAGAGTGCTTCTTTGTATTTGTGACTTTTCGGTGAACTCGGTCGGTTTCGGTTTCAGGGCCTCTTGGCCGCTGACCCACGCCCAAGTTGAGGGTGAGGTGAGGTACCTTACGGAGCAATTACAGTGACTTACCCCCCTGACCTGGACACCCCTTTTACCCCTCCCCTCCATTCCCCTTCGTCAGCCTCCCCCGTCTCATCGCGACATGCCGACACCCGTACTCACCACTCACCACTCACCACTCACTGTCCCCAATCCTCCTTATATAAAATCATTTATTCGTTATATGATCTCTTTTCATCCTATTTCTGGGTCACAATCACATAGAATTTTATTTAACAAAACATATCTGTTCTAAACAAGCGGTTAACTAAGCAACACATCACAATCGAACCTATACTCAATATTTCTCCCGCCCATAAACCCAGCGTCCCAGCGTCCCAGCCCATCATGACCATCACACTCCCCGTACCTGTCTGGCTAGACTGCGACCCAGGCCATGATGTAAGTCACCCAGTTGCTCATCCTTTGCATACACCATGCTCCGTAAATCTAACAGTCGGGCTCTTCGTGTACCCGTAACAGGACACCTTTGCTATCCTCATGGCCGCTTATCACCCCGCCATCAAACTCTTGGGCATCTCAACGCTCTTTGGAAACGCACCAGTAGAGTATGCCCACACATCTTCCTTTTCTCTCTCTCTCTCTCTCTCTCTCTCTCTCTCTCTCTCTCTCTCTCTCTCTCTCTCTCTCTCTCTCTCTCTCTCTCTCCTTCCATGACTGACAATCCCAGGAAAACCACCCCTAATGCCGCCTCTATTCTCACCGCCATCAGCAAACACAACGACGTTCCCATATACCGCGGCGCCTCCCATGCTCTCGTCCGCCCGCCCATGCACGCCCCGACCGACATCCACGGCGAGTCGGGTCTCGACGGCACCGCCCTCCTCCCCCAACCGCTCGTCCCCGCCAACACCACAAAACCAGCCATCGACGCCATGGCCGCCGCCCTCTCCGCCCAACCCCCGAACACAGCCTGGCTCGTCGCCACCGGGCCGCTGACCAACGTGGCCGCCCTGTTCCAGAAGCACCCCGCCCTCGTGTCCCACATCAAGGGCCTGAGCCTCATGGGCGGCGTCTTCGGCGGCGGCTTCACCGACATTCCCCTGGGCCGCGTCGACTACAAGGAGCGCATAGGCAACTACACCCCCTGGGCCGAGTTCAACATCATAGCCGACCCGGAGGCCGCCTCTTTTGTCTTTTCCCATAAGCAACTGTCCGCCAAGACGACCGTCGTGCCTCTGGATCTCAGCCACCAGGTCCTCGCCACCGAAGAAGTCCGCACGTTGCTTTTGTATGGCGAGGAGGGGCAGCCCGACGGTCCCGACGGTCAAAACGGTCCCAACGGCCAGGACACCCAACAACAGAACGGCCACCCCCAACCCAAATCCACCCTCCGCCAAATGCTCGTCGAGCTCCTCATGTTCTTCGCCAAAACCTACAACGACGTCTTCGGCATCTCCGCCGGCCCGCCCCTCCACGACCCGCTCGCCCTGGCCGTCGTCCTCATCGGCACCACGCACGAGGTCGCCTTCCACGACTTCGACACCTCCAAGGGCGGCTGCATCAAGTACCGCGAGCGCTTCGCCGTCACCGTCGACACCGAGGGCACCTACGAGGACGCCGTCGCGGGGCGGACGCAGGCGGGCCGCACCGTCGCCGCCAAACTCCCGCCCGCGTCCGAGGGCGTCAGGATACCGCGCCGCATGGACGTCGCGCAGTTTTGGCGCGTGTTGGAGGAGTGTATACAGCGGGCGGATGAGGCGAATGCCGCGGCTGGGTTTGGGCCGGAGAGTTTGCCGGGGTTGAAGAATGGGACGACGCGGACTTGATGTGTCATGAGTTTCTGTTTTCTTTTTCTTTTTCTTTCTTTCTTTCTTTCTTTTTTTTTTCATTCTCATTTTTACGTCCATTTCCCTACCTATATAGAGAGACTCGGTGAAGATGTAGAGAGGAAGCGACTGAGAGATTACGACAGACATGAGGTGCAAGAGTTGAGTTGTGGCTTGGACACCAACACTTTTAGTATTGTATACGCATGCTACGACGCACAGGGGTAACGTTATACGACCAGACGGCCAGCCGTCTCGTGTCCTTTTTAGCTAGATCATGCTAGACCGCTCGAACGAGTCGTTCATATATCAAACTTGAAGATCAGAGTCAATGGCTAGTCAACATGACATATTTCACCATGGGCACCGGGAGACACAATTACTTGAGATAGCATAGAACCATTGATATTATTGCTAGTTAGCTGTTCCCTTTGACAGGTGGTAAAAGGGGAGTGTTTCGTCTGGGAATACAATACCCGAATGTCGAGTCTTCCCGTAGATTCCCCTGCTAACATCAGGTCAGCTTCTCTGTCCACGGTTATCTAACCTACCTTACCTTAGTATCTGTCTGACCCGCAGGGCCAAGACAGCCCTCTACTCCCCCCCCTGCCGATAGTCAGGGACGTAAAAGAACTCATTCCTGCCGTAGCACGCCGGGTTAGCCCACCCCTTCGAGTCCAGCTCGCGCAGGGTCCTACCGCGGACAGGACGGCCGGTGGCGCCGCCGGCCCTCAGGAAGAGCATCTCGACGAGGTAGGTCGAGCAGGTGACGCAGACCAAGTCCATCGTCGCCTCGCCTTTCTTCCAGGCAATCTCGCGCGGGCTGAAGCGGGCGTGGAAGTCTTGGATTTCCCGCTCCTTCTCGGAGTTCCAGTTCCCGTTGGCCTTGTCGCGGCTCAGCGTATCGTTCAGGCCGCAGCGGTTGCAGTAGCGGCTGTTGCCGTCAGGAGACACCTTTTTTTTTTGTGTGAAAGGGCAAGGATGTTTCTGTCTGTTGAGTGAGAATCCGAAGATTCTTGTTTCTGCTTGAAGTAGGTGTCAATGTGTTAGCTATGTGGATGGATAGTCTTCTTCTCACTTGACCGAGACGATCCGTTATATTTATACTTGCCGAACCCTCAAGAACAGCGGCATTGATACCTTCAGTAGACAGAGAGACATTGCGATGGAAGGCGATTAGAAGATGAATAGGGGTGATGTTTTTGAATCGACTGTGTGTTTGCCCTCGTATGTTTCTTGTTATTGTTCATACTCCTTGTTCAACTCCATTGTAGGATTCCTTGGACACACAAAGCTCATTGTAAGCTGATTCACCTCGGAAATGGTTGGCATATGGCGGGTTCCCAAAGCACAAGACGTAAAAGACCGTTTGCGAACCCCCAGCCTTCGGCCCAAAGACAGTCAGTTGTCAGCCCTTTCATTCAGTTTAATGTCTAACCATCATTGTCCAAGGTAAGTTATCTAGGGACCCCTATATTTATACATCGAGTTGGCCAGGTAGACGTATACAGGCCAACATTTCTATAATTCTACACGGAGAATGGCCTTGTCTCGGCACGTTTAAATATGATGCTCGTCTCCAATCCCCCAGCTGCCCACAATGGCCATGGCCTTCTCGTCTCCCCTAGCGAGCCGCTCATCTTGCAGCGTATCGGACAGACACCGCCACGGATCCCGGCTACCACCCCATTTCAGGAGCTTCTCCTTCAGCCGCTCGCCGTTCGCCCGGTCAATGGCGCCACCCCCCGCACCGGCCTTGAAAACCACCCGCCAGACCCGCTCGGCCAGGACCCGGTCAAACAGGTAACTGTAGTACGTGCTCCCGTAGCCGTGCAAGTGGCCGAAGAAGCCCTGCCAGCACGTCTCGGGCGGGTCCGGGGGCATCTGGGCGTACCGCTTCTGCAGGCCGTGGTAGACCCTGGTCGAGTCGAAGGCCGCGCCGCCGACCTCGGGGGAATGGTACGCCTGGTCCAGCATGGCCAGGAGGATCTGGTTCTCCGTGTCGGCGCCCTCGAACCGCTTCGACAGGCGGATGCGTTCGGCCACCATCTCGTAGGGCAGCGGCTCGTCCGTCTCCCAGTGCCGCGCGAAGAGGCCCAGCACCGACGGGTCGGCGGCGAAGTGCTCCATCAGCGTCGAGGGGAGTTCGGCAAAGTCGGTGGCGCAGCGCGTGCCGGATACATTCTGCAGGGACGTCCGGGCCAGGATCGAGTGGATGGCGTGTCCCATCTCGTGGAAGAGTGTCTCGACCTGGTAGAAGGACAGCAGCGCCGGGGTCGAGCTCTTCCGGTCGTCGTGCTTGGGAAAGTCGCATACGAGTGCTATCGTAGGTAGCTGCTTCAGCACACTCCCCATTGTCGAGCTTTCCATGCCGTCGTTGGCAGCCTCCGCTGCCGATTCGAATCGTGGGCCGGCACCGTCCGTGTTGAGGTCGGCGGCGGCTTCTTCCACTTCGCTCGGGGAGATTTCGCGGGAACATCGCACGGTGAAATGCGCCGGGTTGGGCGACTTGTCCTCGCGGAAGAAGAGATCGCAGTACAGCACAGCAATCAGGTCTCCCGTGTCGGTGACGACGTCGAGCCGTCGAACGTCCTCGTGCCATGTCTCCCCCGGCAGCGTCTCCCTGAGGATGAATCGAATGCCGTACAGGCGGTTGAATAGTCTAGAAAGCCCCTGCATGACGGTGCCGAGGGAGAAATAAGCGTGCAGATGATCCGGATGGCGAACCTGCATCCTCATGTCCGACCGCACGGCATCCATGAGATAGTCCTTGTCCCATGCTTGGATTTCACTGGCTGAGCTGTCCAGTCTGGTTTGTTTAACACGAAGAAGATCGTCCATTTCCTGTCGGACGATGGGCATGTTATGCTCTTGCAAAGCGAGTAGGAACTGCATCACGGACGTCGGGTTCTTGGCCATCATCCTATCCTTCAGAGCTAGATGCGCATAGCTCTGGAATCCCGAAAGACCGGCCAACTCGGATCTGAGCTTCAACATGGTCTCCAGCTTCCGGATCGTAGAGCGCGAAGCCGTCCGCATGGCGATGAAAACAGCTCTCCGAGTCTGCTCGTCCTTGACACTCCGCAGGCCAGCCTGGGCTTCCGGCCCAACCGAGGGAAGACGGACCCGACCTCTTGAGGTAAGCGCCCTCGCGATCCCCGGATACAAGCCGAAGAAGCTGGACGACGGCAAGACGACCTCTCTTTTCTCGGGTGCCATTTCTGAGACGAACCGCGACCCGACCTCGCTGATCTGCTGCGAGAGTTCCACAAACCGATCCCTCTCCTTCTGCGGCAGGTTGACCGCCGACTTTGTGAAATCCAGCTTCAGAATCTCGGCGACCGCCTTTTCCTCCTCCGACCAAGCTGCGACCACATTCTCGTCCTGCATGGCTCTGCCCAGCTGATCGCTCAACCCCGTCATGGTGTTCAGTTGATTCATGTATTGGTACACGAGGCCCCAGGCATCGGACGCTGCTTGCTGAAACCGGGGATCGGGATGGGTCATGCGCACAAAGTCCGAGAGGTCCAGGACGCGGCAGAGCAGGTCGCTCAGGCGATCGAGATCCTTGACAATCGCCCTGTACTCCTCCGTAGACGCGGCCGTGAGGACCTTGTCGACGATCACGGAGGCTTTCTCTAGACTGCGATTCGCGAAGACGAGGAAACCGTGCGGGCTGGTAAGGTATCGGTTCTTGAAGAGGCCGGCACTGGGCCGAGACTGGTTCGCCTTGAACGCTCTCGATGTACGAGAGGGCGAGTCGAAAAGCTCCCGCAGTATGGCATCATCTTGTTTCGTTCCAGGCGGGCCGCGATCAGCGGGATGGAAAGCCGAAGACGTTTCCGAGGCAGCCGCAAGCCATCGCCGTTGGCCCTGTTGTGCAAGGCTGGATATCGAGTCGCGTGCGCATCTGCCACAGACCCAAAGGGCCCTGGCCCGCGTAGGCGATTGTAACATTGGGGGGACGTTTGTCGTGCTAGATGCCCATAGTCTAGATAGAATGTGAGGATTCAAGAAACATCAGTAATTTTAATCCGAGGAGAAAATCGGCAAAGTCGCCCATTGAGAGAAAAAGTTGGTTAATTGGATGCGCCAGGAGTTGAAAGGCTGACCGTTTTGCGGCGTACCTACGTTACTTTTTCGCTTGGATGTAATTAACTACGTAAGGTACGGTACCATACGCCGGTCCGTTTGAACCGGAAATAGCCGGGCTAGGAATATTACCTAAGCTTCACTCGGGCCGGGTCGGAGAAGTGGATGGACCGAAGGTACCTTCATACATGTACTGCTTCCAAGGTCTTGTGCTTCGATTTCGTGACGTCCAAAATATTGCCGATATACCACGCCCAGCTCCAAGTACCTCAGTCGACCCATTGAGCGGACCATGGCTGCAAGAGTGCTGCTCCAACGGGTGAGAATCTATTAGACATACGAATGCTTTTACAATTGAACCATTCTAACCGCCATCTTCTAGCGCGCTGTGGCGACCCTGATGTTGGGAGGTGTCGCTCTGACCCCAACCGCCCTCTTCGCCGAATCGCCAGACGCAGCCCGTCACCGAAGGAAGCCCATCTACGACGACTTTGACATCACAGCGACCAAGGCTCTCCCCCCGCCTTCCGCCGCTACCGAGGAGCCCGCCGCGCCGTCCTCCTCCGTCGTCAGCACCCCCCTCCCAGTTACTATTACTCAAGACCGAGACCACCGAGAACCTCACCAACCCCACGGCCCGAGCCCGACCGACAGGCTAGCCGTCCAGATCGGCAAGGCCCGCCTCTTCCTCTACCGCCACGCCCTCCGCGCCGAAGACGCCGTCAACCGCACCATGGACCGCGCCTTCCACCTCGAGCAGTCCTTCACCAACACCATCGCCTCGCTCGCCCCGCCGCGGGAGAGCGGCGAGAAGCTCATGCCGGGGACCATCTACGTGCTCGTCGCCGCCATGGCCGGCAGCATCATCACCCGCCGGAGCAACATCCTGCTGCGCGCCACCGCCCCCGTCGCCCTCGGCGTCGGTACCGGGTGGACCGTCCTGCCCATCACCATGGGCAACGTCGGCGACCTGGCGTGGAAGTACGAGCAGCGGTTCCCCGTCGTGGCGGAGAACCACATCAAGATGCGGGAGGGCATCGAGAGGGGTATCAGCTTCGCCAAGGTGCACAGCGAGCTGGGCGTGCGGTATGTGGATGAGAAGGTCACGGATGCACGGGAAACCGTCGAGTCCTGGGTGAAGAAGGGCAAATAAAAAAGTGTGTTCATTGAAGACACTGTACCATTAGATTTCGATAGATTCAGAAAACATATGTCTTCTTTGTTGTTACATTTCGCTGGGAACATTAAATGCCAGTGGGAAGTCCCGCAAAATATTCGTCCCATAACGATGCATCTGTCCCTTCGTCTATAAACCACGGGTAGACTCAGTGCCATTACCCTCCCTCCGAAACGCCCGAAAATGCCTATTTCTCTTCACTCGCAGCCATATGACTTGGGGGTGGGGTTTCTTGATGCTTCCCCTTCCTAGGTCGAAAGAGCCACGGCAGCTTGAGGAGCCTCCTGTGCCGCCGTAACGCCGCGACTTGACAGGTTCTTCTTGCGAGACTCATCAGAGCGGGTGTTGGCCATGTTTCCGCCTGCCGCCACGGCGCTCTTATTATTAGCCTTTTTATTTTTCCTCGATTTCGTCGGATCGATGTCAAGCAGCAAATCCGTCTCCCTCGCTTGTTCCTGCAACTGCTCAAGACCCAAAGCCTCGCATAGCTGGGTGTAGCATTTCGTGGCGTGACACTTTTTGTAGGCGTCCTGCTTGCCGGGAATCATCTGCGTGAGGAGGTACTTGGTGTTGCCAAACTTGTTGCCGACGTCCATGGTCAGCTTCACGTACTCCCCGACGACTTGGTCCCACGGCGCGAGCCCTCCGTCCGCCTCGCTCCTGAAACAGCTCGGGTTTTTTTCCGCAGCGGTGGCGATCATGGCGCCGTCGACGCCGAATTCCTCCACCAGCTTGGCTGCCTGGTCGCGGCTCTCCACGTCCCCGTTCATGACGCAGGCGACGCCCGCCTCGCGGCAAATGTCCGCGATCATGCGCAGCTGGCCCCGAATGGCACGCTCCCGGGGCCGCATCGGGGTCGTCCGGCAGTGGATGGTCAGACCCGTTATCCCCGTGGCGACGAGTCTCCGCACGAGCGCCTCCGTCTCGGCCGCCGTCTCGAGCAGACGTATCTTCACGCTGATGCCGATCTCGAATTCGGGCATGATGTTCTGGACGAGTGCTTCGAGGATGGAGCACAGCTTGTCGGGTGTCCGGAGGAGGGCCGCACCCATGCCGGAATGCGTGCTGAACGGTTTCGGGCAACCGGCGTTGACGTCGATGCCCCAGACATCCCCCGCCACCAGCCTGGCCGCCTGGACGGCGAGATCCGGGTCAGAGGTGCCGATTTGGAACACGAGTTTCCCAGCTTCCTTCTCGGGGTGTATGCTGTAGACAACAGACTCTTTCGCGTCCGGGGGTGGATGTTTCTGGCCGAATGAAGGGACTCGAGTGAAGTCGATGGTGTTGGTGATAGGGTTCACCTTGCGCGTGGTGCCGATGATCGCCTTGTCGACCGTTTCAGGGCCTGCACCTCTGTCAGTCATACTGTATGCGGCTTGTCTTTCGGGAAGAAGACGTGAGCATACCCCATACCAGGTCTGCGCCGTAACGAAGAGCCAGGAGTCGTGAAGGGAGCTCGCCGGACCGCACCATGGGCGCAAGGACAACTTTGCCTCTGTAGTCTACCCCTCGGTGGGGAATCGGCACCTTTTTGATGTCGGACGCCATGATCCTGCCTATGGAGCGTGAGAGCATTTCATAAAGATCACGCTACATATTTTGGCGGGCTTAGAGTACTGTTCTTGTCGAGGGGCGACTTTGCATGGGGTTTTTGAGATACTGAAAGTTCGCATCTCCATCTCCAACGTCCAAATAGGTATAGGCAGAGAAACATCCAACAGCTTGGTTGGAGCTTTGTGGGCCGAGCGCCACACCCCGCTGTTAGTGGGCTACCTAGGTACCTTAAGTAACGACACCATGGCACCCCGCAATGCTGTGGTCAAAATGTTATTTTTTCTTCTCTTATCTTATCAGTAGAATCCCCAAATATCACGTCCATCCACCGTGATCATTTTCACTTTTGATATTGACATCTCAACAGGAGAAATCAAACAAGTCGCACTCGAAATCCAAAATGGCGACGATACCTCCACCTCCCTCGAAGCGGCAGAAGAGGGAGACATTAGCCCTCACACAAACTCAGCAAGATGCGACAGCCAAATTCGCTTCCGCAGATGCTGGTTCCTTCAAGGCTCGGTTCGTCGACAGCGAAGGAAACGAGACCGACGCAGTTGAGATACCACTCGCCGATGCTTCCGAGAAGAACGTCTCTCTCCTATACAACACACTTCTTGTATGATCTTCCGCCATCGCAAGGGGAAAAATTGATGGCCAACTAAGATGAGCACAATATAGGGCCGTGACCGGGAAGAGTTCATCCCCTACCGCTTCCACATCCAAAACGCCCAGGGGGATGTCGTCCAGTACCCGTCCAACCTCTTGGAATATTTCCAAAAGAACGACATCAGTCCGAACGAAATCACCATCACCCTAGTAGCCGAGCCGCAGGCCGTCTTCCGAGTCCAGGCAGTATCCAGGCTCGCGCATCGGATCCCCGGCCATGGCCAACCGATCCTCACCTCCCAGTTCTCCCCGAAGACGAGTAGTCGCTTTGCCACCGGTAGCGGCGATTGCACGGCCAGGATATGGGACGCAGACACAGGGACGCCAAAGTTCACCCTCAAGGGACACGCGGGCTGGGTCCTCGACGTGAGGTGGAGTCCGGACGGCGAGCTGCTGGCCACCTGCAGCATGGACAAGACGCTGAGGATCTGGGACCCCGAGACGGGAACCCTGTTAAATCACGAATTGCGGGGCCACAAGGACGCCGTGCTGCAGGCGGCTTGGGAACCCTACCACCTCCGGGAGAACGGCCAACGACTGATCGTCAGTGCGAGCAGGGACGCGACGGCGAGAGTATGGAATGTCGGGACTGGACGTACGGAACACGTGCTCAGTGGGCACAAGAGCAGTGTAACTTGCGTGAAATGGGGAGCGGGTGGTGAGAATGGCACAGGTCTGATCTACACGGGGTCGCATGACAAAAACGTTCGAGTGTGGAACGCCTCGGCAGGCACGCTGGTGCATGAACTGTGGGTGCCCAGGCTCCTCTTGTCATCCTTGAGAGTGGTTTGCTGTACCGGATGCTGACCTATACTGTTTCAGGGCCGGCCACAAGCATTGGGTCAACCATATCGCACTATCGAGCGACTTTGCGCTCCGAACCGGCTATTTCGACCACACGAATGACATTCCCAGCTCTGATGCCGACAAGAAAGCCAAGGCGAAGGCACGGTTTGAGGCCTCCGGCAAAACGGAGCGACTGGTGTCCGCGAGCGATGACCTGACCATGATACTGTGGGATCCCGCGAACGCCGGAAAGAAGCCGGTGGCACGCCTACATGGCCACCAGAAGGCGGTTAATCATGTCGCTTTTTCGCCGGACGGGACGGTCATTGCCAGCACCGGTTGGGACAACCATACCCGTATATGGAACGCAAGGTACTTATAGGCATTTCTGTTCTTCATTCTTGGGCGTACACTATGTCTATCACTGAATCCAGCCGCTTAATTTGAATTAGGGATGGGTCCTTTATTCGCAAACTCCTGGGGCGTAAGTTTTCCTTTCCCGATTTGTATCAACTTCTCGGGACAATTTTTTTGACCCTCTTTCTAGATGTTGCGCCGGTCTTCCAGTGTGCCTTTTCGGCCGACTCGAGGCTTCTCGTCACGGCGTCACGCGACACCACGTTGAAGGTCTGGAATGTTCGAGGGGGGAAACTCGCGCGGGACCTGCCGGGGCATGAGGACGAGGTCTACACCGTGGATTGGGCGCCGAGTGCCAATAATGTCTGTAGCGGAGGGAAGGACAAGGCGGTCAGGCTTTGGCGGAACTGATAGAGCGGTTTGAAATCTTGGCTGATGCGCTATCTGCAGTCATCTTTGGCTGACGAAGCAGGCTGAGTTGCACGGACTGTGATAGAGCTTTTCCCAACCGGAGTTGGAGTGTGCACTTGGTTTTCTCTGTTCAATATAGCAAAGACAGCGTCTCGTATGCTTCACCTAGCTTCAACTTTGACCACCTCCCAGTACCACTTGACGTCTAGGTCTTATTCCTTTCGCACGTGGAGATGATGTTAGTAGCTGCGTATGTAATCCTTCCTTAGCCAATAAAGCCCTAAATATTCTGGTGATGAGCTGACGGGGATTGTTATGAAAGTATAGCAAGCGGACGGTCTGGATTAGTAGATGTCCTTAACACCACACCCGTGCTTACATCTGACACCACATAGCGACGGACATCACAAACAAAACAAACAAAAAGAAAAATAAGCCAGGGAAGAAAAAGAATAATCGCATGACGGGAGCGCGATTCGAACGCACGCCTCTTTCGAGAACAGTGAACAACTTGCACTATGGCAAGAAAGGGTATGAGACCTTGAAACTGTCGCCTTAGACCAACTCGGCCATCCCGCCTCGAATGAAAAGAGAAAAGGTTCTACGGGGTTTTTATGGCCAAGCTAAGGGCCGTGATCGAGCAGTGTAAGTCCGAATCGACATCCCGCCGCTGCCGAAAATACGGACCACGGCCGAGCCAATCATAAGTGGTGTGTGAGGGCAGGTATTTTTGTGCATCACCCCGTCCATTTCACTATGTCTGTACAGTCGAAGTACTTGTGTCTATGGTAGTCCGACGGACGAATTTCAGCTCGGCAGGTGACGGAAACGTGAGTTTTCTCCCGAATTCTCCCGAATTCTCCCTTCTTCCATGTCCGCCAAAAAATCGTCGAGTTTGTCGATCTCGCACCAAGCAAAAAGAACAAAAACACGCCGAGTACGTATACTCCGTACAGTTTCCAGTTTGTTAGTTTGACCATTATCAATTGTGAGGCTGCAATTGTACTGGCTAGCCCCGCTATTATTTATTTTGCTGCTTCAGCAGTCGGTTCCCAATTCCCTGATTTTGGCCCAGGAAGCGGTTACCGATTTCTCTTCCGAGGCTCGGATAGCCGGACCCCCTCCCTTCACTGCCTACCCAGGTCTTAAATACCTAGGGCTGCACTTGGCTGAGTCTAGGGTTGGTTACTAACAATACGAACGACCTGAACTACCTTATGTTGCGAACGCGAGCGTTCCACGCGATACAGAGGGTCCTGACACCTGCCAGTAGAGTGGCGCCTCCTGTACCTGTACGTCTCCGACTCAACAACAACCACCCGGTTTTCACACAGAAGGCGGCCCCGGAACGGGCCAATCACTCCGCAACCCTGGCGGCACGCAACCAGTTAGGGACCGGGCCCTCAAACTGCCCTGCCCCTGCCCCTCCCCCTCCTTCTTCCCCAGCTCTGCTTGCATCATCGCAAAGACTTTCCTCCACCCGAGCGAATAATTTACATATTTCTTCTACTCCGTCCCAACGTACAGCTCAGATCACTCGCCATCTTTCTACAGCATCCCCTTCGTCGTCTTATTTCCCATCACATTACTCCTCCCAAGCATCAACCATGGCATCTCCTTATACCCTCCGTAAGGTCGGTGCTCCCTACACCCTGGAGCACCGCGTCTACATCGAGCAGGATGGCGTCCCCGTCTCGCCCTTCCACGACATTCCCCTCTACGCCAACAAGGAGCAGACCATCCTCAACATGGTCGTTGAGATCCCCCGCTGGACCAATGCTAAGCTCGAGGTAGGCACTGACGTCTCGTTTTTACGCGGCCTCCTTCTTTTTTTCCTTTTTTTCCCCCCTTTCTTTACCCCGCCACCGTCCGTCACTTTAAGGCCCTGAATTCATCCCGATCAGTGGCCCATATACGCATATCTGCGCCCAAAAAGAACTCAATTGACTAACCTGACTCTGTAGATCTCCAAAGACGAGCTCCTCAACCCCATCAAGCAGGATATCAAGAAGGGCAAGCTCCGATTTGTCCGCAACTGCTTCCCTCACAAGGGTTACCTCTGGAACTACGGCGCCTTCCCTCAGGTATGTATCCCCCCCCCCCCCCCCCCAAGCAGAAGGAAGGGGCAGGGACTGACATGCAGTTGTTAGACCTGGGAGGACCCTAACGTTATCCACCCCGAGACCAAGGCCAAGGGTGACAACGACCCCATCGACGTCTGCGAGATCGGCGAGCTCGTAGGTTACACTGGCCAGGTCAAGCAGGTCAAGGTTCTTGGCGTCATGGCCCTTCTTGACGAGGAGGAGACCGACTGGAAGGTCATCGTCATCGACATCAACGACCCCCTGGCTCCCAAGCTTAACGATATTGAGGATGTCGAGCGTCACCTCCCTGGCCTCCTGCGTGCCACCAATGAGTGGTTCCGCATCTACAAGATTCCCGATGGCAAGCCCGAGAACCAGTTCGCTTTCACCGGCGAGTGCAAGAACAAGAAGTATGGCTTCGTTCATTTACATGTACAAACTAATTACTTTGCTAACACTTTGCCGTCAAGGTACGCCATGGACGTCGTCCATGAGGCCGCCGAGGCCTGGGAGAGACTGATCACCGGCAAGACCCAGCCCGGTGGCATCTCAACGTGAGTAGTCGCCCTATGGTTCTGACATGGTTTTTGCAGCGTAGCACTAACTCTGTTATCTAGCACCAACCTGACGGTTGGCGAGTCCCAGAGCCGCGTCTCCCCTGACCAGCTCCCGCCCCTGCCCCCCAACGAGGACCTGCCCGCTGAGAAGATAGACTCTTCTATTGACAAGTGGTTCTTCATCAGCGGCGCGGCCAACTAGGAGAAGTTTATGGGAGGGTTGAATTTGGGGCACGTTTCTCCTGCTCGACAGCCCACTCCTCCTCCTCCTCCTCGGGTGACGATCCATTACGAGCCACAGGAGGAGAGTTTGGCAAGCGGGGCACGGCGACGCAATCCGAAGGAGTTTTAGTCGAATCTCCGTGGGAAATTTGCCAGTCGCGGCAAAGACGGCAATTCCGGGGCCAAATAATTGCGTAGTTGGCAGGTCTAAAGAAAGGGTCGAAAAGTCTCCAGGATAAACATTTTTTTGTGTCTCCCCAGTTTCCCCGTCTGCCATGGCAGCGAATGGACTCTTCCCATCGTCGCGGAGTCCTGAGACTACGTCCAGTATATGTATCGTTGTGTAAGGTAGCGTGCCCTGAAGGGTCAATTGGCAGTTTTGGTACACATACAAGCTGCTTGTATGGTACTGGCTACAAACCACCCCCAATATGGGTTATAATTGTTACCCCCTTAACCCAAACGCCGCTTCATGCTTGATCATGCCGGAGATAATAGTACAAGTGTGTGGTATTCTCGAACAAGCCCTTTGTCTAGCTTCTTTAACCGTCCGTCAAGTCGGCCTGCTTCTGCAGACCCCGCGAATGCCGGTCGACCTCCTCAATAAGTCCCTTGATTCCCATCTTGTCGCAGTCGAGCGTCATCTCCTTGCCGTCCTCTGCGCGCGAGAGAAGCCAGTTAGCGACTCGAGAACTTTCCAAAGAGCAAAACGCAAGCAGAGGTTAGCTGTACGACGTACTGAACTTGACATAGAGAGACGGCGTCTCCTTGGACGTCCTCGGTAGGAGGTCGGTGTTTATTACCAAGCCGTTTGCGCGCGCGTTGGGTGGGAGGAAGGAGAGGAAGAGGCGGGCGGACCGGGCGCTGGGGGAGAAAGGGTTGAAGCGGGTCCGGATCTCGGTCATGAATTTGATGATCATTGTGGGATGAGGGGCGCGGTTGGGCGCGACGGCTGCCTCGGCGGTTTGGTTGGGTTTTGTTGGATTGTGTTCGGGACGGGCAGAGAGACGTGAAGCTTAGAAGTTAGATCTTCTCTCCGTACATGCAAGGCGGCTTCCGAATGAGGCTAAGCCCCGGAGCTAGAGTCTAGATAATTGGGTGTGGCTTGATGCGGCGGTGGTGGCTCAAACGGGTACGTACCGGTATTCAAACACAGATGTCATGTCACTCGTACGGGTACGGGTACGTACCACTCCAGATTGGTATCCCGGCAGGGGCGGCCAGCTGGCTCTCTTTCACCGAGAACAGTGACACAACAAACCCATTCTCGCCATCCAAGACTAAGGTACTTGGATAACCGAAAGAAAAGGAAGAAGAAAGATGTCCTTGGAAGGGCTGCAGGAGCGCTTGACAGCTCTGCAAGAAACCACGACTCAGTTGAAGAACCTAATCGACCGATTGCAGAACATCAGATTTCAGCCAGGATCAGTGCCTCTGTCCGCGGACGAGGACAATGTCGCCACCGAGCTGAGTACCGAGATCATTCAGATCTTGCGCGAGGAGGATGAAGAATTAGAGCTCTTGGAGGAAGAGGTGGAGGACTTGAAGGGCGGACGACCCGGCAGCGAAGCAGAACATACCAAGATGAGGTTGAAGGATGGAGTCGAAAGGTTGAAGCAAGAGCTTAAAGGGTAAGTCCAGAGAAGAAAAACCCATCCAGGCGACCGGGCTTGTCTAACCGACTGCGCAGCTCTCGAGTGAACTTTAGAAAAGCCCAACTCTCCGCCAAACAAAGCCTCGCCCGAGCGCAAAAACTCGAACGGGAACTCCTTCTCCAGTCCTACTCCCAGCCCGCATCCATAGCAACGTCCCCATCCCTCGGTCCCTTGGACGACGCCGGAGACGCAGACGGCGCCTCGTCGATACCGCGACCGGAAACCGTCCGACAACAGCACCAGCACCAGCACCAGCACCAGCAGCAACAAACAGGGTTATCGGAGGAAGACCAGCAAGCGGTGGGCGCAAGCGGCAACGTGACGGCAGCGCTGCGGCGAACACACGACCTCATCGCGGCGGAGCTGGCGCGGAGCGAGTTCGCGCACCAGACGCTGAGCGAGTCGTCGGCCGCGCTGGCGAAGCTGGACGACTCGTACGGGTCGCTGGAGGGGATGCTGTCGCGGTCGCGGGACCTCCTGGGGACGCTGGTCAAGTCGCAGAAGAGCGACACGTGGTATCTCCAGACGGCGCTGTACATGCTCTTGGTCACGGGGGCGTGGCTCGTCTTCCGGAGGTTCCTGTATGGGCCTGTGTGGTGGCTTGTTTGGTTCCCCCTGCGGATGGTCTTTGGGATTCTCGTCGGGGGCGGGAAGGCGGTTGTTAGGCGGGGTGAGGGGGGGCCTGCGGGTGAATCGCCCGGTGTGGCTGTGCAAGAGGGCGGACGGGTGGAGGTGGAGGGCATCCCGGGAGAGGAGCTGCCTACGATTCAGGTTGGGGGCGCTGGTTCCGAGGCGGAGGAGAGCGGGCAGGCGGTCTTGGATGATATCGAGACCATTGTGGAGAGGGTCGGGAAAGTGGTGGATGAGGTGCCGGAACTTGGTGAGGGTGAGGAGGCGGAGACGGAGACGGAGACGGAGTGGGTGGATGGCCCGAGGGATGAGCTTTAGATTGATGTGAAAATAGTAGAAATAGCACGAAGACATGGATCAATGATAATGAACTGGGTATACCCGGAGTTGGGATATGCGCGGTCCCATACATTACAGCAGTTGTCTGTATAGAAACGAGTCGCTGCTTGAGTTGGTTGGTGCTATAATATCTGGCTAGATATTGCCCGATATTGATTTCCTCTATATTATCGACGGGGCAGGTGGTATTTGAGGGTTTGGTCTTCACCGAGCCTTCTCTGCCAAGATTTCTGTCGTTCTTTAACGGACCATCTCTATTCTAGCATCACCACCACGATGTATCTTCTTATTATGCGGGCTCTTTCCCCTTCTATATTAAACGACAACATGTCATTCGTTTCTCGGTTACTCGATCTGAGGCTGAGGAAAGAAGGAGGGAATTAGAAGAAGAAAAAGAAAAAGAAAGAAAGAAGAAAGAAAGAAAGAAGAAAGAAAGAAAGAAGAAAGAAAGAAAGAAGAAAGAAAGAAAGAAAAAAGGCAAACCCGGCAGTCTGGATCCCGTTGAGAACCACGACGAGAAGACGTCCCAACACTCGAGACGAGGTTCAACGTTTACTTCGCACTGAGAAGTGAAGTTGAGATGATCCGATCTTCCCGCTGGAAATGGGTTAGCCAGTATACTACCCGATATGGACAAAGCGTTGTGTATACGAAGTATTCGTACTTCGTACAACACTACGTACAACACTACGTACAACACTACGTACACGCAGTGCACCACGTCTCCATGCAGTCGTTGAACTTGAGTATCCCCAAAAGGGGCGAGCTAGGTACGGCAATTGCACACACGAAAGAATAGAATATCCCGGGTCACTATTTGCACCACGTAGTACGGCTTCTGGCGCCGAGTCGTTGTGTCGACTGGCGAAGTGGCTGTGGCTTCTAACCAGTCAACGAAGCCATGTCACCAACCGTCGAGCAACGGTCTGGACTACACGCTGCAGATGTTGGGCTTCTGCACTGAGTTCTCAGGTACAACGTACGTATGTAGGTACAGTGTACTCCGTCTGCGCCGTGCTACGGACTAGCGCGTCCAGTCGTGAGCTGCGCAGCTCTGTGGCGGCGGCGCAGCGAAACGACGCGTCGGTACGTACCCCTGTCTCCGTTCACTGCGTTTCTCATTGTCATGCGACCAGGGACTTGGCCGACTGACCACGCAGGGGTCCTTTGATGAATATGTACGATACGAATGGGTTTGTTCTGACTCGACGGTCTACCCAAGACAAACTCGGCGGATTTCTCGTGTTCACTAGCGGAGGGGGATGCTGGTTGGCTCAGGTTTAGGTATTAGCTCGACGCTACATTAAGGCACCCTACTAATCGATTCCCAGGGGGGGATAAAACAGGCCGCGTTCATCAGGCAAACCCAGTCGAGAGGCCGCCGGGAGACTCGGTTGGAAATACCAGACACCAGTTTTTGTTTTTTCTTACTGAGAAAGACATGTCCCTTGAAACTGGGTGTTCATCCGCCAAGGCCAGGAACAGACCATTCTGCAGAAGAAAAAGAAAGGACTGTACGCCACAACTAACAGGCATCCAACGTCCCTCCCCTCCCTCCCCTCCCCTCCCTCCCTAGTGAGAATGTGAAAGTCTTGGCTCGGCAAGGTGCAGCTATCCACCCCTGGTCCTCCCCGACCTTGCATGCCGACCAAAATCGGGGTTCCCCAGACAAACCCATCGCTTTAGATCAGCGTCGAGAATCAGTGCACTACGCGGAGCACAGGTGCCCCTGACCCTCAAGTGCTCCGTGCCCCCGTTCCCCCAGAGGAATAACATGACGAGGAACGAAGAAGTCTCAAATACATGTTGCCTCTGCCCAATCAACTCCATCAGTGGAAATTGCCAGAAGTTGGCACTGGACTGGGTACATAGCTCGCACGAAGGACAAAGCGGTGCATGGGCCTTGAAATGCTGAAAGGTACGAGCAGGGCTCGGGTTTAAACAAGAGCTGAGGAAACGACCCGCTGGTTCTATTTACTTCGAACATGGTATTACATGTACTTCGTATACTTCCAGGTTCCTAGCATCGGGCCATCCTCAACAGGCCTTACCAGCCTAAGGTAAGGTAGTCTGTTGTTCCGTGTCGTCAGCCACCCCGTGTTTGTTATTAAACTCCCCTCAAGCCCTCCCAGCCCATACACCGTCCTTCTCTTTCCCTCCTTCCCTCTTACCCCCCCTTCTCGCCGTGTAATCGCTTTGTTCCGACGTCCACTCGCTCACTCGCAAAGCTCTTCGATACCTTCACTTCGGCACTTCGTCTACTCTAATTCTCACACATCTTTGACCTTTCATCCTCTTAATACCACCCACTCCTTTTTCCGTTGCCCAACGTCCAAATACTCTACCTAATCGACACAATGCGCTTCCACACTGCTGCCCTCCTCGCCGGCGTCTTCGCCCTTGCCCAGGCCCAGGGCTCTGATACCCCCGACAACTCCGGCATCAGCATTCCCACCCCTACCGGCGTCGACCCCGCCACCAGCTCCATCGCCGCCAGGATCAACGCCTGCCTCAGCGAATGCGACGCAGCCGACGTCACCTGCCAGGCCGCCTGCGTTGCTGTAAGTCCATTCCTGTCGGGACTGACCGGGGAGATCTGTATAGGACAAAACAAATACTGACGGGACCCGTCATGCCCTCCCGCAATATAGGTCCCAGCTCCCAATGCCTCCCAGGTTGTCGCCCTGAACAACTGCGCCGCCGAGTGCGACCAGGGCAGCGGCTCCCCCGCCGACACCGAGGCCTACGCCCAGTGCGTCAGCATGTGCGTCACCGAGCACTTCTTCTCCGACGGCGTGGTCACCCCGCAGCCTACCAATGCCGCTGGCAACAATGACGACGACGACGACGAGACCGACGCCACCGGCACTGGCACTGGTGCCTCTCCTACCCAGACCGGCACTGACGCCTCTGGCGACGCCCAGGGCTCTGGTTCCCCGACCTCCGACGCGGATGCCGCTCAGGAGACCGGCGATGATGGCGACAGCGCCGCTCCCCACCTTGTTGGCTCTGTCTCCCTTGCCTTTGTTGGCCTCGCTGCTGCTTTCTTCTTGTAAATCGGAAGCTAGCGAGGTGAGGAAAACTCCATGTTTTTGTCGGGTGCTGGGACGATGACGGACTATGTGGTGACCTGTTGGAAGCAGATGTATATGGGTTATGTCTTGCAGCCTTATGCCGGGCTTGAATAACTGGCCGGTAATGGAATGGGATGATAATCGGTACGAGTATATGTTGAGCAAGCAGATCGTGGAGGAGTTGGACCCATCTACTACCATCTATTCATATCTAGCAGTAATCACTCTCGCGGAAGGAGATACAAGCTTGACAAGTCTTGTTGATGATTTTTTCTTTCTTTTTTTTTCTCGCTCTCGTCGACGTCGACGTCGCCGTCGTCTATATGCAAGGTAACTGGTATATTCTGGTGGCATGTCCCAACATAAAATGTTCTAGCTGCGTTTCGGGTTTACGACAGGAATATCGCTAAGCCAGGGGATGCCCAACTGCTTCATCTCGACGGCCAATTGGAATAAGTAGTCCAAGCTATTGAAAGGATGGTGCTGTTAGTCCTTGAGAGTCTGGGTGGGGGCGTCTGTTTATTCGAAGATAAAGTGAAGACTTTGGGGCTTAGTCCATTCTTTGCCCAAAAGTACTCGCGGAGCTTACCTCTCACACTGCGTCTTGGCCTTGTGGACGTTATCCCCCCACACGTAAACGCCGTGTCGACGGACAAGGACGGCGTAGGTATCCGGGTACTTATCCATGGCCTCCTCGAGGAACTCGGTCAGGTCCTCCTCGTGGGCGGTGTTCTCGATGACGGGGATGCGGAGGGTGTCGTGGTATCCGAGGTTGCCCTGCTTGCCGTACCCCTTGCCGAAGCCCTTGATCTGCTCGATGTTGTTGATCTCGAAGAGCTTGGGGTCGCCGCCGGCCGGGGTCGAGGTCTCGAGGATGAGGGTGACGAGGACGGCCCAGTGGGAGTGGGTGTGGATGCAGCAGCCGGCGCCGCGTTTGGTGAAGGCGGCGAGGAAGAGGGGGGTGCACTGCGAGGGCTTGTAGCAGGGCGGGGAGCGCAGGTAGGTGCGGTTCTTGAGGGTGGGTTCCTGGGCGGCGAGGGAGAGCACGTAGATGTCGGACGGTTTCATGAGCTCTTTTTGCACGCCTGAGGGGGCAATGTAGACGAGGTCACTGGGGAGAAGACGGGGAATGGTAAGCGCTGGTGGCCCTCTTTCGTCTCTTTACGTCGTTTTCCATCATGGATTTGTTTGCTTTACTCTTCACGGATGGAACAGCCGCCTCCTGTACCTGTTACCCAGCCAAGGGTCCAGAATTTTGCGCAGAGAGATGGAATGAGGTTTGCGGGGTGCTCGGGGTTGTCGGACGTGACCAGCTCGTCCGGGTTGTCGATTGCTTCTGCGCAACTCATCACGGACTATTGTTGGAGATGTGATGTCGGATGTAGGAGGGATTGAGATGACGACTACCTTAATGAACGGGTAGATGGCAAGATGCAGGCACAAAAGTAGACCTGGGCGCAACGTAGTCAGGTCAAGGAGTCGGAAGTCAATCGGTATAAGGTAGAGATGAGAAGAAGATGGTGCGTGTTGTTCAAACGTATCTTGATGGCTGGAGGGGTAGATCGATCATGGAGGGGTTCCAGGTTGCGATGTCGTGCTTGAACCTGTAACGACCTTGGTCTGGGCCTCTCGGGTCAGAGGTTGAGCGGTAAATTTGCCAACGAATAATAACGGTGCTACGAAGCATGTTCCTTCAGCTCCATCTTGGCTGGCTGGGTACTTCTTGCGAGACGCCCAGCGGGACCCATTGCCGTGTGTCAGTCGTACGTATGTATGTATCACTTATGCCGGCCGTGGAGGAATTGCGTTCTGTTAGACATGGTCATCTCCCAGATTGTCTTTGCATATTTATGTTTACGGACGAGGACAATCTTCTTCAAATACATCTTGAGGTTTTGTTCAGATAAACGCAGCGGTGGGCAAAGCAGCATATAAATGTCGGCATATCTGCATTACACTGTTCTTTGCGATGGTGGCTATAGGCCTGACTTCGCGTAAAAGCCACTGCTCTGGCCTATCAGCCGATAAGAAACACTCTTGTGGCTTATTAACGGAAACAGATTATACTTACTCTGGACCTATAACGACTCGGCGCTGTCCTGGAAACAAACGGTCCATAATTTCGTAACTCAACAGAACTTGTCAAGAATCAAGAATCTCCAAGATACCAATTGCGCAGAATAAGGTTAATTGGTAACAATTGCATGTTGTCCTAGTGAGTGGACTTAAAAGATTGCACATATTGAAACTGTTATCATACCGATATGGGTGTTCTTGGTGGATTTGGAGGTGGGTCAAACTGTCAGAGGGGTCAATTAGTGAGCCCCATACAATTAGAATTCTCCGTCGTTCACATGTTCTCATGGACTCTGCTGATATTCACTACTTTTGTTCATTCCAAAGCCAATACATGACTTTATCTACTAGCAGGATATATAAAGTAATTCTATGCCCGTTGTTATCTGAAATTGAGTATCTCACGCTTATTATTCCACGAATACTGTGTTCCTCTTTCAATTAAGTCCCTGGCAGCATAGAGAAGACAACGATACAAGTCGGAAGGAAGGTAGGGGGTGTAATTGACAAGGGTGTTATGGGTCACCCTGGGCTTGCATGGAAGCTCTTAGAAACACCAATCGCCACAGGAGGAAGGAGCAGGAAGAAAGACCCCTGTGTCAAGTGCACCTTACTCAGTAAGTCCATTGCCTAGCACAGTAAGCAACCCCCGCACACAGCCACTAGCAGCGCCTCCCCTCCCCGGGTACACCCCCTAGCCAGATCCCAATTCTAGGTGTTCTTCACCAGGAAGCTACGAAGTAATTGTGTCCGTGCTAGGATGAGCTTGTTCCTAGCATTAACCCCCCTCTAAAAAGGACACGTTGAACACAAGCTGTTGGCGTGACATTTGACACTAGAAAACCTAACCCTTCCCGCGCGTACCTTACTTTCCAACTTGGAAACCTTCTTTCTCTTGACCGGGAATCTCCTCATCTTTAGGAGCGCCGCATTGTCACCATCTTAACGGGAACCTTTTCTCTTTACTGGTCGATACGGGCAATTCGCGTGAGCGACGTATTGGCATTCTCCAATCTCCCCCTAGCTCTTCTTTGTGTTGTGTTTTCGTCCTCTCGACCGGGACCTAATCCACCATGAGGTTCAACGCTGCTGCTGCCGTCTCGGCCGCCGCCTTCCTGGCCGGCTCTGTCCGTGCCGACGATGCCCAGAAGGTCTTGAGCGAGGATAAGGAGGCAGCCACCTCATCCGCTCCTGAGCTCGCCACCTTCACTGTGAGTACCTCCCTCTGTTTTTATTTGCCCGACTGTCCTCTCCTCATCGAAATTAGACATCTGCTTTCGGAGGAGCTAACAGCAACGTTTACACTAGCCCACCAACATCAAAGCCGAGTTCCTCGAGCAGTTCACCGATGGCTGGGACGGCCGCTGGAAGGCCTCTCACGCCAAGAAGCAGACGCAGGGCGATGACGAGGAGGAGTGGGCTTACGTCGGCGAGTGGGCCGTAGAGGAGCCCAAGGTCTACAAGGCCGTCGAGGGCGATGCCGGTCTTGTTGTCAAGAACGCCGCCGCTCACCACGCCATCTCGGCCAAGTTTCCCAAGCCCGTCGACAACACCGACAAGACCCTCGTGGTCCAGTACGAGGTCAAGCTTCAGAGTATGTCTCTCTGTGCTATGGCCATCGGACGTGATTTCGAGATGGAGAGCTAATGGTTACGTGATGCACAGACGGCCTCGAATGCGGTGGTGCCTACATGAAGCTTCTCCGCGACAACGCTGCTCTCCACCAGGACGAGTTCAGCAATACCACGCCTTACGTTATCATGTTCGGACCGGACAAGTGCGGCCATACCAACAAGGTCCACTTCATCTTTAACCACAAGAACCCCAAGACGGGCGAGTACGAGGAGAAGCACCTGAAGACGCCTCCCACCGCCAAGATCGCCAAGACAACCCAGCTGTACACCCTCATCGTCAACCCCGACAACACCTTCGTCATCAAGCACAACGGCGACGAGGTCAAGTCGGGCTCCCTTCTGGAGGACTTCACCCCTTCGGTCAACCCCCCCCAGGAGATCGACGACCCCACCGACAGCAAGCCCGCTGACTGGGTTGATGAGGCGCGTATCACCGACCCCGAGGCCAAGAAGCCCGAGGACTGGGACGAGGATGCTCCCTATGAGATTGTCGATGAAGACGCCGACCTGCCCGAGGATTGGCTCGTGGATGAGCCCCTCACCATTCCCGATCCCGAGGCCGAGAAGCCTGAGGACTGGGATGACGAGGAGGATGGTGACTGGACCCCCCCCAGCGTCAGCAACCCCAAGTGCGCCGAAGTCTCCGGCTGCGGCCCCTGGCAGAAGCCCACGAAGCTCAACCCCGACTACAAGGGCAAGTGGGTCGCCCCCTTGATCGAAAACCCTGCCTACAAGGGTCCTTGGGCTCCTCGCAGGATCAAGAACCCCGACTTCTTCGAGGACAAGACCCCGGCCAACTTTGAGCCCATTGGAGCTGTAAGTTTGAGAAACAGACAACCCCCCGACTCGCCCCGATTCTTCTTTTCCACTGTGGCTAACGTGGAGATTGGTTAGATTGGCTTCGAAATCTGGACCATGCAGAACGACATCATGTTCGACAACATCTACATCGGCCACTCGGTTGAGGATGCCGAGAAGTTGGCCGAGGAGACCTTCAAGGCCAAGCATGCTATCGAGAAGGCGCTCGAGGAGGCTGAGAAGCCCAAGAGGAAGGAGGAGGAGGAGAAGCAGAAGCCCGCCTCTCCCAACGACCTCAAGTTCCTCGACGACCCCGTCCTCTACATCAAGGAGAAGGTCGACCTCTTCATCACCATTGCCCAGAAGGACCCCGTCGAGGCGATCCGGTTCGTCCCCGAGGTTGCTGGCGGCATTGGCGCCGTTCTGGTCACTCTGATCGCCATCATTGCCGGGCTCGCCAACCTGGGCGGTAGCGCGGCGCCGGCGGCCAAGAAGGTCGCTGGTGATGCGAAGGCGACCGCGAAGGAGGCGAAGGATAATGTCACCAAGGCGACTGGCGCGGAGACGACCAAGTCGGAGGCCACTAAGCGGACCAACAAGGGTCAGTCTTAGACGCGACACGATGTGGCGATGTATTTTTTTAGTTGCTTGGGAGGGGGTGTGGTGTGGTGGATGGGATGTGATGTTCGCGCAGCTCCGTCCGACCTTTGCAGGAAATGTACCCGGGGCCGACCTCACCGAGATGAGGAAGGGGAAGGACAGCATGCGAATCAAAGTATCCATAATACGTTGGTTTTTGTTTTTTTTACTGCCAGTTGATTGACTCCCTGGGATGATTCATTTGGTCACGGTGAACAGGAACAGGGCGAGAGGAGCTTGGCGCATGTATTTTAGGCGCGTCCCTAAAACGCAACCAAAAAATTGAGAGTTAGGGTTTTCAGGTTATCTTTTGTCTTCCTCTCTGTCCCGTCTTTGCCCTTTACGAAGTACGTACGCACCTTTGAATGTATCTGATCCACGTGTGGATGCTCCCAGTGCCTCCGTTGTACGGCGTTATGCTCTCGTTCGTATCGACTGATACGTTACGGATACAGACTCCAACATGACTTGGATAACAATCTAATTACCTTTGTCTTGACTATAACCTCACAGTAGAAACCGGAGCAAATTAAGTTGGCTTGATATTCTATTCCATTGGCGGGGCTTATCATTTTATCCGCCTATTATCCACTCAGATATTCGAGTTGTCTTTCACAGGTTCGGTTCCATTGATGCTAACAAATAATTACGATATGATGTTCGCGTAATCTTTTCCTTTGGGACTGGACGGGAGCCGACTACTGCATGGGCCGGTACCGGGACCGTATGCCCTCGGCATCCGACGGCATTAGGGGTTATGATTTACAGAAGGAGCCTGGCCAGTTACGTACCTGTAGGTAGTGGATGAACACTACCTTATTGGGAGGCGAAGGTCGCAAGGTACCCCCACAGAAGTACCACGAGGGTTGCGTTGTAGTCGGCTCTCCGCACTTCTACCTGCATTCTAGGCCGGGGATGGTAAAGAAGGTACATCGGGATACTACCATCGTCGGCAGAAGTTACAGGAACTAAGGTACGCGGGGGATCCCGCCCCAGTGACCGGTGCCACCCGCCTGCTCTTTAAAGAGGACAACGATACCCCTCCTCTCTTCCCGTCCACGGCTTCTTTTCCTGGTCTTTCCAGTCTGACCTGGCATTACTGGAACTGTGCGACCAATATAAGAGACGTGTCTGACTCCTACAGGCAAAAGGGTCAGTAGTGAGTGCCAGGGTGATCGCATCTTCACCGCTACATTCCACTATTCGCCGCCCCGTCGCCCGCCGCCCGCCACCCCCTTTTCCCCTTCAACCTCCCGTCTCTCTCCCCTTCGTCTTGTTATTTCTCACCATAACAATGCGTCGAGCCATCTCCCGAGGCATCGCCACCGGTGCAGGCCGCACCTCTCGACTCCCAGCGTCAAGGCCTCTGTTGCTATCATCCTCTTCCTCCTCCGCTTCCGCCGCCATGTCTCGCTCCGGCTCCGGAGCCGTGGCCGCCAGGCGAATCCACGCCACCTCCAAGCACCTGAGCGCCGCCCTCGCCTCCACGGCCGACTCGTACCCGAAAACCCACGAGAAGATTGCCTCCCCCGAGGACACCCCTTACTTCCTCAACAACCAGTTCATCCAGTCCAAGGCCACCCAGTTCATCGACCTCTATGACCCGGCCACCAACAACCTCGTCACCAGGGTACCCCAGATGACCGACGAGGAGCTCCAGGCCGCCGTCGACTCGGCCGAGAAGGCCTTCCCCGCCTGGCGCGCCACCAGCGTCTTGGCGAGGCAGCAGATCATGTTCCGCTTCGTGGCCCTCATCCGCGAGAACTGGGACCGTCTGGCCGCCAGCATCACCCTCGAGCAGGGCAAGACCTTTGCCGATGCCAAGGGTGACGTCCTGCGTGGCATCCAGGTGGCCGAGGCTGCCTGCGGTGCGCCGGAACTCATGAAGGGCGAGGTCCTGGAGGTGGCCAAGGATATGGAGACCAGGAGCTACCGCGAGCCCCTGGGTGTTGTGGCTGCCATCTGCCCCTTCAGTACGTGAAAATCAACAACCCTCTCCCCCCCAACCTTCGCTTTCCATGCATTATTCTTCTTCTTTGTTGCTAACTACATGCCTTTCCTTTTTTCCAGACTTCCCTGCCATGATTCCTCTCTGGAGCATCCCCATCGCTACCGTCACCGGCAATACCCTCATCCTGAAGCCGTCGGAGCGGGACCCTGGCGCGGCCATGATCCTGGCCGAGCTCGTTAAGAAGGCTGGCTTCCCCGACGGCGTCGTGAACATTGTCCACGGAGCGCACCGGACCGTCGACTTCATCCTGGAGGACCCCGCCATCAAGGCCGTCAGCTTTGTCGGCGGCAACAAGGCGGGTGAATACATCTTCAACAAGGGCTCCGCCCACGGCAAGCGCGTGCAGGCCAACCTGGGCGCCAAGAACCACGCCGCCGTCCTGCCGGACTGCAATAAGAACCACTTCCTCAACAGCGTCGTCGGCGCCGCCTTCGGTGCGGCCGGCCAGCGCTGCATGTCGGTCAGCACGCTCGTCATGGTCGGCGAGACCAAGGAGTGGCTCCCCGAGCTGGCCGAGATGGCCAAGCAGCTCAAGGTCGACGGCGGCTTCGAGGAGGGCGCCGACCTCGGCCCCGTCATCTCCCCGCACAGCAAGGAGCGCATCGAGCGCCTCATCCAGTCGGCCGCCGACGAAGGGGCCACCATCCTCCTCGACGGCCGCGGCTACACGCCCGCCAAGTACCCGGACGGCAACTGGGTCGGCCCCACCATCATCACCAACGTCACCCCGGAGATGACCTGCTACCGCGAGGAGATCTTCGGCCCCGTGCTCGTGTGCCTCAACGTCGAGACCCTCGACGAGGCCATGCAGCTCATCAACAAGAACGAGTACGGCAACGGCACCGCCATCTTCACCCGCTCCGGCGCCACCGCCGAGACCTTCCGCCGCGGCATCGAGGCCGGCCAGGTCGGCATCAACGTCCCCATCCCCGTCCCCCTGCCCATGTTCTCCTTCACCGGGAACAAGAAGAGCGTCGCCGGCGGCGGCGCCAACACCTTCTACGGCCGCCCCGGCATCAACTTTTACACCCAGCAGAAGACCGTCACCACTCTGTGGAAGAGCGAGGATGCTGTTGCGCAGAAGGCCGATGTCGCTATGCCCACGCAGTCGTAAGGGGCGAGTAGGAAGCGCATGAAGGAGAGGGGGGAAAAGTAGGAATGTTTTTTTGCTTTGTAGTGACAAACTCCTAAATTTGACCATCCATCTCCCCCATGCCTTGAGGGGGGTTTTCCAAATGGCACAAGGGCAGCTTTTGGATATGTATCATCTTTGGCATCCCGGGGTTTAAGGGGCGCATGAAGTTTGTTTATATCAATACGCAGGACTAGCATGGAATAGTATATACAAAAGGAAAGAGAAAGAAAAAACAATATTCCAAAGAATCTGCAATGACCATGGCAAAGGCTTTATTTACCGACAGCATCATATCCAGAGGCCGTCTTCCTGCGACGAGAGTTCAACAGTGCCGGTTTGCGAGATATCCAATACCATCCACGGACTGGCTGTCACGACCAGGAAGACAACACTATAGGGGTCAGAAGGGGGAAAGCAGTACATTTGTCGTCGAGGTACAGACAGCAAAGAATGGTCAATGAATGGAAAAATCGGCATTCTTCAAGATTGATCACGAGGCTTCGTTTCGTTCTTCGTTTTTTTTAAAAGTGGATTGACATGAATGGCAAACAATCGCACTCACTACCTATGTATGTCCGTAGAGCCATCATAAATTCGATGCCAACCGGTCTTTTGAACCGCAACCCCCAAACTCCCAAGAATGCGCCCTTCCCTCATAGTAAAATGCAGAAGGCGGAAATAATGAGAAAGCCCACAAAACTACAGGGATAACATTGAGGAACCAACTCCGCATTCGTCTGAATCAGCTGACCGTCCTTTTCATACGCATGGCTTTGTTTTTGCAAGCGAGACGTCGTGGATCAATGGAAGGCGGAAAAAAAAAAAGAAGGAAAAAAGAAACAAGGCATGTATGTCTAGACAACCCAGTCAACGTCTTCCCCGGGGCGTGCAAAAGAAATTCATTCAGTAGTCATGGCCATAGGAGTCGTCTCAGCCGCTTCACTGGCCGGCGGTGCGGCCGAGGATGACCTGGTACTGGGAGTCCCGGGCAGCTGCAGGAAGCCGTCGTAATAGCGGTCCAACCAGCGGGCGGCGTCGATACCGGCGTCGTCGACACACGTGTCCCAGCGGCCGACAGACCCCACATAGCCATCTGGCCGGACGTTGACGATGGCGACCTCGCCGGGGCCTAGGCTACCCAGCCACTTGTTGGTACATGTGGAGCCGCGGGTGTCCTGCTCGGGAATGTCGTCGATGTAAAAAGTCCACCTGCAGTCCTGCAAAAGGGCGGGGAGGTCGGAGAGTTCCACATCCTGCTTGGACATGGTTGCTAGGGGAAGGGGTTGATGTTAGCATGGGGTAGGGAGGAGAGCCAAACAAAGTCAAGAACGAGAAAAGGAGGAGGAAAAAGGAAGAGGGGAATGGAGGGGAAAGTACTCACTGACGAGGGCGAAAGTGAAGAGGTGGCTGACAGCAGTGTACCGTTCCGGCCGTGTATACATATCCTCTGGGGAGGGCAGTCGCGGTTGGGCGGCGTAAGAGGCGTTGGCGGCGGCCGACAGCTTGCTTATGAACGAGTTGGGCGCGGCGATGGCCCGGCAGAAAGTCTCGAGGAAAGGGTTCGACGCGTGGACGTCCCACATGAGAATGTAGATCCGGAATTGTCCAAGCATGGGGATGTCAAGTTGGATATCGACGGGATTCGCGTCGATGTAGCGGGTGACCTTGGCCGGAGGTAGGAGACAGCCTGGGCGGACATCTCCCATGATGGCGGGCTGCTCCCCGACGACGTTTAGAGGGCTCTCCGCATACTCGACACCTATGCCGGACATGAAACGGATGTTGGTCTTGAAGTTTTCCGAGAGAGCCTCGGCATCGCCCCCGGCGATCTGGTTGGCGTGTTCGTAATCAAAGTTGACCAGGTCCAGTGCCGTCTTCCGCCTCTCTTCCTCGTAGCTCTCGAGCAGCATGGGCTTGGCGAGGCCGCGCACGGCGAGGTTGAGCTTCCAGGCCAGATTCCACGAATCGTGCATGGAGGTGTTCATGCCCTGGGCAGCCTTGGGAGAATGGGTGTGAGCGGCGTCGCCGGAGAGGAAGGCACGGGTATGCGGGTCGCAAAAACGGCTTGCTACCCTCTGACCGATCTGGTACCGGCCGAACCATTCGATGTATTTCCAATCGACGGTGTAGGGCGCCATGATCTTCTGGGCCCGTCGCATGATAAACTCCTGGCCAAGCTCTCTGCGGTCCACCTTAGGGCCCGATTTGAGCTCAATGTAGAAGCGGGTCATGTTCCTCTCTCGGGGGATAATGAGAATGGACCCGTGCTCTTGGGAGTAGACCAGCGTCTTGGACCAGATGTCGGGGAAGTCGGTGATGAGCTCGCCGTCTAGGACGCCCCAGATGGAGGCTTGCGACAGGCCGATAGCCCGCGCCTCTGGAATACTCTTACGTACTTTAGAGTGAGCACCATCGCCTGTTTGTTTGTTCTTCTTGTGTCAGCACTGGGGCGTGGGATGGCCTTTCACTTGTGTCGTATTTTGCGCGCGGGGTGGGTTTTAATTTTTTTGTTGAAAGAAAAAATAAACCAAAAAAAAAGGAGTAAAACTCACATCCGACGAGGTATTGCGTCAAAAAGGTCTTCCGGTCCTGGGTGACGTTGGTCCGGCAATTGACCCGGAGGGGCCCCGACTTATCCTCTGGCACGTTGTACGACTCGAAGGCGGTGTTCCTGCGAACCTCGACGCCTCGCTTCCTTAGATCGTCAATGAAGAGACTTTCGACCATGCCCTGGTGGACGAGCAGGATGTACGGATCCAAGACATCGATAACTGGGGGGTAATGGACCTCGCGGCCCAGTCGGTGGAGGGGCTCCTCCGGGGTGCTGCGCCAAAAGGAGATATCATAGACGCGAACACCGCGCTGAAGCAGGGGGTGGGCGAGTCGCATCTGTCTAAAGGTCTCGATCGTCTTGGGTTGAAGTCCGTCGGCTCTGCAGGAGGTGAGTCGAGAGAATCAGGTGGTGGAGCCGGAAGGAGAGGGGGAGGGGTTATGGTATGCCCGAAGGCCAAGGGTCAATTACCTTCCCACGGGTGTCTGGTCAGCTCGTTCGTCAATGACCTCGATCTTGATTCCGAAGCGACCCAGATTCGCGGCAAGCATGAGGCCTGCGGGACCGGCACCGACAATGCATACTTGGGCCTCTATCGGGGGGTCGGGGAGGCTGCGGAAGAGGCTGAGGGGATCTACGGCAGTGTCGAAGCCGGGATCGAAACGGCCTGGGGCAATCTGGGGAGGCGAATTTCTCTCCTCCGTGGCGTCGGCCGAGTCCAAGGCGCTGGGTGCCATAGTGGTATTCGGGTGTTTTCCCTCTCTTTTGTCTGGCTTTCCTTTTCTCCCTTTTCCCGTCGTTCTTTCGACGTGTCCAGCTGCCCCGGCTCGTGTCCCTCGAAACTCGAATGTTGTTCCAGTGGTGGGTGAAATACGTCTTGCTTTTGTCGGATATCAAGGCGCATCAGGTAGTGTGCCGGTCGTTGAAATCTTCTCACGCACGCAAAAACGTCACGAGGGCGTGGACTGCAGTATGAAAGGCGCGGGCAGTAGATGGTTGTCTCAGGTTCTCTTAAGTTGCCTGGTTCTTCTAGGTAGAACAATCGATTGTGAGGGGAGCTCTCGAGGGCATGCGACAGGCATATATCGGCACAGAATGACAGTCGTTCGTTCGCTGTCTCTTGTCTGTGAAGGGGCAGCAGCAGCAATGGCAGTAGCAGTGGTAATAGCAGTGGTGGTGGCAGGAGTAGTGGCGGTCGTGACAAGGCAATGAACTGGGTCCGACTTCGAGAGGTCGCAGATGTACGGAGAGCCGTGGCAGCACCGAACACTGGCAGGGAGTCCGAGCGGTAAGTCCGAGGCTGAATTGGCGGGTATGGTATGGTTACGGATATAGGGAATATGTAACATCAAGGATCGAATCACTCTGTAGATGCGACCACTGACGATAGAGAGGCGAGCCAGGTAAGGTACGGGAGCCACACGCGACACCGGAATTGAAGTAAGTTCGGCGTGGAGAACGACAGCCCCGGAGCAGACAAAGGTTCAATGAGACGGGACGCGAGGCGAAGGGAAGGGGAGGATAATTAACGTGACGAGACGATGGAGATGGAGGGAGAGAAAAGAGGGGGGGGAGGGGGGGATGAAAGGCGGAGAGAGGTCACTCCGGAGAGCATTCAGGGTCTGGTCGAGGAGGAGCGACAAAGACCCAGACAGGGGAAGGTGAGACCAGTGAGGTCCTACTTCATACCTTACGAAATAGTGTGGGAGATACCGGGCTACCTACGGTACCCGTATTCGTAATTTACTCGTACTCTACCTTATTGTCCCTCACTATCCAAGCCTATGTACTTCGTAGCATCTCCCCCCCTGGTATACGTACCGAAAGGGAAGGTATATTCGTATGTCATCGGATACTTCGAGACAAGGCATTAAAAATAATCCTTCGGGGCATCTTTAAGTCGCATGGAGACGATGCGAGGGGGAAATGGCATGACCGTGGCCAGGTCAGTAGCGACTCGCAAATAGAGAATGGGCTGATTTTTCCGAGACGCGGCGGGGCCTTCTTCTTTTTCTCTTTTTTTTCTCAAGTCATAACTTTGTTCCGCGGGTGGAGAAGAGACATTGACTGCCGTCCATCAGTGGCCAGTGCGTTCGCACGCGATATCGGCCGAAGTCTTCCGGGCTTCATTCTGGCCTGATGCCATGTGGGACGAAGATAAACGTATCATGATAAGATAGGCAGAGGTGTCTTACCGACCTTGACCTTACGATGTCATTTAAAAGACCCCAGTCAGAGCTTATTAATACTTGTTATCCTACTCCCTGCTACGGGAATTCAACAGGTCGGCATACATTGCTGAGAATGGTACGAGTGTCTCTGGGAGTCGCACTTCTTTCGAGTACTCCGCCAAAGAACAACCCAATATTCCACCCCAGATCCGGGATTGAGGTCTGACTAAGGTATCCCGGGGTGCTTGGCGACGATTAATACTGGTTATATTACTCCGTAGGCATCTAGGTACCCCCACAGCCCAGCTTCACCGCAGTCATCGACCAGCTCTGAGACGACGATACGAGGCTTCGTACCTAGTCAAATTAAAAAGAGGCAATCAGCAAGGCAGATACAGAGCACGAGCGTAGAAGAGTGGCCGAAGAAGAAACCCATAAACTACTTAGCAAAAAGGCGGCGTATGTATGTATTTACAGAGACAAGTCCAAGAGCAAGCAGATTCAGCAGCATTATTTCGAAGCATACTTAAACAAATATACTACTAATATAGGGAGGGTAATAAATAGCCCGCTCTGAACGGCCTAGGGAAACACGTGGAGGATAATAAGATTAGAACGGCGAACGGCGCCTATACTAGACACACGGTTCCGTCAGAGCAAACATAGGACCGCCCATCACTTCGACTATATCTAACCGAACAGGAACACCGTATAAGTGGAAAGGGTAGGAAGCCATAATCTTTTTGTGTTTTCTAGAATAAGATGTGTTCAACTGAGGAATGCGTACTAACCGGCGAATCTTCCCAAGAGTCGAGTCGTCATGGGCAGCACCTCCCGGTTGGACTGGTTATACGCAGCCTTTTGATGTGATCCTCTTATTCGTTTCGAACATGAATTTCGCGCAGACGAGTTCGAGATGCTTCAAGAGCTTGCTTAGCACGTTCTCGTTCTTCCCCGAGCGTTTGATTCTGCTCGTTGTGCGTGTTCTTCTGTAACGTCAAGCAGTCCGTCCAGCTCTTCAACCTGGCTGCCCATGTTGACGACAATACACGTAACACAAGTAGGGCATCTTGCTGAGGACTCTAGACTGTTGTCGAGCGTGGGACGATCCGATGCCTCTAGGGCCATTGTCGCATAACTGGTTACACAGAAGTTGGTTGCACAGGAAGGCGCGATGAGTAAGCGAGGCTGTGTAGGACCAACTCTTTCAACCAACTCCTCAGTATCGCTGCCTAACCCCTCGCGGCACGTTGCATAGAACCGTCCAAAGTTCCGTACGTGAAGTTATCGATTTACCTCGTTGATTAGGTGTATGCCTTCGTGCCACTATCCCCAGACTCTTGCGCATTTATTCCTATCACCTTTGGCATCCCATCCCGGAAAATGGCAACGCCGCGATTCATCTGCGCTGACTGGGCCCCCGATAACACGGCCTGCCAGAAAGCCGGCAACTTCGCCTGCAAGAACTGTTTGCTCGTCGGGGTAAGTTGAACAGACATGCCATCAAAGCAGAGCCTTTTCTCTGAGACACCTTAGTACTGTGGCCCGACCTGCCAAAGATCCCACTGGGCATCTCACAAGGCCGACTGCAAGTCGAACCTACGCAAGGAAACATGGCAGCCCAACTGGGCACTAGAGAACCGACGACCGGCGTTCGTGGGACCGGGACAGCAATTTGGAGGGAAGAAGTACCTCTGGGGCAACATGCCAGCTTTTGATGTATTGAATCTCGAATCCAACGAAGGCGTCGATTATGACGGCCAGTTGAACCTTTTGTTTGCTGGTATGTGCCGTGTGCAGCTTTGGCCCTACTTCGTCAGGCCTTCTGAAGCTAATGCCGTCTTTCCCTCGGCACCATAGCATCTGGCGATCTTCGGAACCTCGTGAAGACCATTGCGCAGCTCCCCGCCAGCTATAGCGGCACTCTTGACGTGACGTTGAACGACCTTGAGCTAGACATCGTGGTGCGCAACGCCATCATGCTTCTCGTCGCCTTCATTGTCGACAACACGGACGACGCAGTCGATTGCATCATACACGTATGGTACTCTGCTCGCATCCGCACATCTCACCTGGAGATTCTCCAGCAGCGAATCCGGCCACTTGTCCAAGAGGTCTGCGATAAAACCAGGGAGAAGGACCCCCGGAGCGTTTGGGAAAGAACATGGACGTTTGGTCAGAACTCCCTGAGGCTTGTGCTTGCGCAGTCGGCGTGGAACCGCTTCTTGTCGTATTTGGATGTGCCACCAGGCTTGGACGCCGAGAAGGCGAATCGGATCCGCCGTGCCGTCACCCTCGCCGAGTCTAGACAGGACTATCGTGACCGGCACTTTCTGTTCCACTCACCTTCTCATCGGATGGCTAAGTATCGGTTCTGGGAAGACGGGCTCTTGCTACCGTTTGGGTCACGACGGGATGAATTCGCCGTGCCGAACCCGTAAGTTGTGGCCCTGTCCGCTTGGATCTTGGATGTACCGCAGAATTGACGTTTTGTAGGACCCTCTTCCAGACCCCTGACGCCTGGCCTCTGTTCGACAATGCCGATCCCCTCAACGGGTGGCTCTTGAAGGACATCTACGCCACCTCAAGCGGGGCGGCGACCGCAGACGTATACGGCAAGATGTTCTACCACGTCCGCGGTATGCTGGAGTCATTTCTTCGCCGCCTGTCCGGTCTCACGGCAAAGTTTCAGCTCCTGCAAGTCAACGCCCTCGAGCTTCCCGAATACCTTGAACTGGACAAGTCTTTCAGCCGAATCGAGGTATGGGATGTTGCTGGTGTCGTTTGGTGGGGGGAGTTTCCTGCCGTTTGACCCGATACTAGAAACATGCCGCGCATACTAGGTCGCAAACATCGCAGACTGTGGCTACGTCGGACCCCATCGCACAGTCGCCCTCATGGCGCGGCTGCTCCAGGAGCCCGCAGTGAACCCGCACGCGACGCTCATCACCCTGTTCATGAACGCCGTCGACGAGAACATGACTCACCAAGACCGGATAGCCGATGCTACGCAGGACAGCCGTTCGAGCAAAGCCTTGCTCAAGTACATTCGGCCGACGGGACCATTGACAATGACGGGCAACTACAACCCTGCCGTCGTCAAATTCTCGTTCGCACGAGATCTCGTGACATCGTATGGCCGATACTTCGATCGGTAAGCGCGCGAGGTGCCCTAGACGGGGTGATCCAAGCTCAGGACATACTAACTGTCTGATTAGATTCATGAAGGAATTCATGTTCGCTGAGCTGGGAGAGATTGTTGGCGCCGCTATGAAGGACAGGCATACGGTCATCGAGAAGTGGCCGTACAGGCTGAGGCTTTCGCCTGGCCAACCAGGGGCGCAGGAGGAGTTTGACCGGGCGCTCGGGGGAGGTCCGTCCAGCAAGGAGCGATACGTGGAGTGGAAGAGGGTGTATCATGTACGACGACGTAGGTTGCTCTGTTGTGAAGCGTGCTACAGTGGCCTCGCACTCGCGGAGTCACGCACTTGCACTTGCGAACAGCGAGAAATGGTCACGCTTTGATTAGTCAGCATCGCCCGGTTTTCTATTTTCTATTGCCCCATAGTGACCGGTGCTTAGTAATAAAGGACTTGCGGAGTAAATACTCAGTGAAAAGTAGCTGATCTAGTTGGTGAAGCTGTTGAACATTGTGTTGAACATATTATCGAAGGTTGCAAGCCTACACCTCGAGCCAGGGAACTATAGATATAGGTAACGTCCTGCCCCTCCATGCAGATCCCTGTCCTGCTTATAATATCTCGTTAGCTACGGCTCGATCGTGTCTCTCATGTTATCCACCTGGAGAGCGCTGTGAGTGTATTCATGTCGCGGCCATAGTGCAACGAAACGCCGTTTAGAAGGCTGGGGAAAGAGGCAGTAGGCTACGGCAGACAATGCATAATCAACGTTACTTATCATTCAACGGAACCGAGTCAAAAGTGGTTGGAAGATCTTGTGGATCAACTTCGATAACGACAGGAACCCACGACGAGTCGGCCGAGCTCAACCTCGGGGGCCATTTTGCTCCAACCAACCTCCCAGAGAACTCCATATATCGTCCGTCGCTAGCTCCATCACTTGGCACCGAGCCATGTTATAACTTCCAAGTTCTGTGTAAGGCTGGGATTACACGATGAGGCACTGAACAGATACGGACACGTTAGCATGCTGCATCAGGCCTGCAGACAGCAGGCCCCCCTATCTAGAGCACGACTTACCTGAATGCCGCACTTGACAACCTTGCAAGCAAAGTTGAAGGCGTCACCTGCGTCGGAGCAGCTGTCGACGCACCTGGCGCAGTTGCTCTGTTCTGGGTTGGGCTGCACGTTGGCGGTGTCGATACCGGCCCTCTCCAGCTGTTCGATGAGAGACTGGAGGTCGATATCCTCGAAGGAGATCTCGTCTCCCTGCCTCTTGTGGACGGCGGGAGTGGCGGCGGCCAACTCGGCGAGAGCGGACAGAAAGACCATAGAGGCCTTCATTTTGGCTGATGAGTTTGGTGTGCAGAAAAGGGGGAGAAAGGGTTGCTATTAAGGTCGGAGGTGTCTTGGCTCTGTGGAAGGTGGTCACAGGCTGTGAAGAGCGGTGGGAAGTGGTCTCTTTTATAATCGATTCTGATGTCGCGTAGATACTGTGATCTCCGTTCAAGATACGTATATTAGACGGACAGGCTCTCTGTGAAGTGGCTTTCTCCTGAAGGGATGAAGTCCACTCCTCGGTGACGATAACTTCGTATTTTTGTCTTAACCCTATGGCCTATTCTTCAACTGCATATCACTTCTTGAGACAAACGATTCGGCCCGCCGTGTGTCCACTGCAGATTATAGACGGCTCTTTTGCGCCCCCGGACTTCAGGTCGGCGAAGCAGGAATGTGAACGACCTTACTATGAAGCAGTTCAGTTCTCACATGCAGTCGGGGGATTTGTTAACTTATTGCGGAGGTTCAACCTAGTCAAGTCATTCTGAGAACCTGACCTCCCGTTGAGAGCGAGTCGACTCTGACCTATAATTCAAAGCCCTCGAGAGGACATTTGGCCTATAGAAAACTGATTTTCAATATGCTCCTCTTTCTCTCTCCCCTTGGATGTCTTTCCATAGGAGGAGCAGAGGTCACCGAAGAATGCGGACGGCATATCAACTGCCGGTAATAGCCACGGCAGATGCCTCCGTCCAAGTAAGGATCGCTGCCCCCATTCCATGACGAGGGAAGGAACCAAAGCGTGAGACAAACTCCACTGGCATGTTGAACTATAGATACGTATCTATATCTGGGCTGAGGGAGATCACGGCAAGCTCAACGCCATTTATTCTTTGTCCTTAGAAAACCCCCTCTCAGATTTGCAGCAAGCGCTGCTTTAAGAGTATATACAGTAAAATCTCATTATACACGCTCATAAACTAGACAATGTCATAGGACCTGGGCTCCTCAGCTCCCGTGTCTGTGGTCTCAGCCCTCGGTCGCCTCCTTCTCGGCATAAAACCTCCCCGGATCCTCCACGACCTGTCTCCCCGAAAACCCCGCCATAAACGACTGACCCTTCGCCCGCACGCGGAGCTGGTACCAATGCGGCAGGGCACGCAGTGCCGAGGCCAAAGTCCCCGCCACGCCAGGGACGACGACATGTCCGCTCCTCCCCGACAAGACCTGGTCGACCACCGCCTCCGCCACGGTCTCCGGCTCCAGCGCCGGCATGAGGAACGGCGAATCGGGCGTCCACCCCTGGAACAGCGGCGTCTTGGCGTACCCCTGGGTGACCAGCACGGTGCGGACGCGCTTGGCGGCGTACCGCGTGGCCAGCTCGGCGGTCAGCCCCTCGTGGAAGGCCAGCGCGGCGGCCTTGGAGGCGCTGTAGTCGACCAGGTCCGGCACGGCGAGGTAGGCGGCCAGCGAGGCGACGGTGACGACCATGCCGTGGTTGGCGGCCACCATGGCGGGGAGGAACTCGCGCGCGGTCCAGTAGTGGGCGAGGGCGTTGACGTCGAAGGTGAAGCGGATGTCGTGTTCGGTGGCGCCGAGGATGGTCTTGCCGCGCGCTACGCCGGCGTTGTTGATTAGGATTGTTGGGTTGCCGACTTGTGCCCGGATCTCGTGGGCTGCTGCGGCTAATTTCTGGGGGGAGGTGATGTCACATTGGAAGTAGTGGATGTTGGGGCCTAGATGGTCAGTATGTGGGGATGGGAGTTCAGCGGCAAAAAAAAGAAAAAAGGAGAGGAGCTCACCAGCTGAGAAAGTCAAGTTGGGCTGGATATCCAATACGGCCACCGTGACGCCCCTATCGGCGAAGAGCCGGGCAATGTGACCGCCAATGCCGCCGGCGCCGCCGGTAACGAGGACGACCTCGCGGGACCAGGTATAGGTGTCGTTGGTCCAGTTGTTGAGGACGCGGGACGAAAGCCAGCGGGTAAACCAGCGGGCGAGTCCGCAGTAGAGGAGCACGCGTAGACGGCGGTAGGCGGTGGGGTGTAGGATGGTGAGGCGACCGCCTTGCTTGGTGTAGCGGGCGAGGAGAACCAAAGGCAAGAGCAAGGCCGGGTTGAGAGCTGTGCGGGCGAACAGCTTGAATATGGGGTCTGCGGTGAGGCCCTCCCGGGGGAGAAGGGCTTTTCGGGGGGGCATGGCGATGGTTGGTCTGAGACGAGGAGAACTTCACGTTCGATTCTTGTCTGGTGAAATCAGAAAGCGACACCGAGAGAAAACTGGTGTGAATGTACGTGGTGTATAAAGTGATTAAAGTGATGAATTAGTTTCGAGCTACACCTGTCATGGTGAGCTTGATCAGAAGGGTCCAAGGGAAAAGCAACAATCTCATATTACGAGCGGGGTTATCAGGGGTGGATATATATAGGTATGTATACCGTACCTACGTTCCATATCCGTACTATTCACTCACCTTGACTCGGGGATGTAAGATAATAAGATAATTATGAGCGACAGTAAATCGATGGGCTTCTTGGCTGCGCAGTAATTATGGCTTGCAGCGCTCAACGTTTCTCGACCCGTCTTACACTAACCCCAGATTCAGTTCGAGGTCCGTGATGGGGAACCCCGCATAATTTCCGTTCTGAGGAGCCAATCAGTTAGAGGGAGGCTCGGTTGCGACAGGCCAAAAGCAAGACGCGGGGAAATCAATGCATGGTTGGAACTTGGAAATAAGGAAATAAGGTAGGTACCTACCTTAGGTAATGCCACCTTGTGTACATTGGCCGGCCGAGTTCGAGAGCCGAAAGGTCGTAGCCGGGCATGTGATAGGGGGCCGTTGCCTTGTACCTATCTTGTATTTGGCAACACAACAGTCGGATCGTTTCTTATTTCGGACACCAGAGTCCGGTGGGATTTGGGTCGTTCTTTTTCTTTTCTTTTCTTTTGCTTTTTGGTATAGACGAGTCGATGAAGATGAGAAGGCATTGGAACAATCGGGTGGGTATCCATTGAAACTGAGAAGACCGACGAACCACCTGTGGTTGTGAAATACGAATAAAGAGAGCTGGTCCATACTCCATCCATCCATCCCAGCCCCTCCTCTCCTCTCCTCCCATTCGAGAAGATCACCTAGAACATGCAAGCCCTCAAAGAACGAACGAATAAACGCCGCTGAAGAGACACAACCAGGTCGCACCACCCCACCAGCTCAATACCCCAGCACCGCTTCCCAGCCCGTCATCCGGCCCTGCCCCGGGCCGCTGACCGAACCCATCTTCCCCGTCCTCCCCGTCTTCCCCGTCCTGCCCGTCTTCCCTGTCCTCACCCTCGCCCTCGCCGTCGGCCCCAGCAATAACCTCAATCTCCGTCGAGTCGCCCGGCGCAAAGAGCACGCCGACCGCATTGGCGCCCTCGACGTCGACCTCCTCGGGCGAGAGCAGCGGGTTACCCAGCGCGTCGCAGTCCGGCCGCCCGTCGTCCTCGTCGATGCGGTTGGTCACTTGGATCGGCACGTCGAAGATGGTGTAGTGGTCTTGGTCGTTGAGACGGAAGTTTTGTCGGATCGAAATCTGGTCACGCGTTAGCCTCCCCTTTCTTCTTCTTTTTTTGTTTTCTCTTTCCTCCACCAAAAAAGAAACTCCTCACATTGTAGATCCCGCGGTCGCTGTCGCTACTCTCCGGCTGGCCGTCGCCTACGAGACAGTCGGGCCACACCCAGTTGATGTGCTTCACGGTGCTGCCGGGCTGTTGCCGCATGATGTCGCCCAGCGTGGCGTTGTTCTCCGTCGCCGTGCCATTGGTGATGGTGAAGTTGCGGCCCGTGACGTAGCTCGATAAAAAGATGGTAATGTTGAAGATATGCGTCGGGCTCTCTGGATCGTAGGGAGGAAGCGGCATCCTGCCGTTGGTCGTCACGTCGAGCGAGATGTGGAGGGTTTCTGGAGAAGGTCGGGTGGCACCGAAAGTTAGCATTACTGCCCGTCGCATTGCTGGTCGCTATTGCGAAGCTTTCCCGTCCATCAGGAAGAGCAACGGGTCATCCAGCCCGTCCGCTCACTCCCCCGCGCTGCTGGACTGACACCAATTGCATGAGAAGGGAAAACGAACCTCCTCCCATGGGCGTGTTTGGTTGAGGGGCATTGAGAATGGCGAGACCGGGGGTGTAGATCTGGCCATTGGAAATGGTGAAGTTTTGCGACGTCGAGTCTTGCGCCGCCGCAAGCAGCGGGAGCAAAGGAGAGAAGGCGAGAAGTGAAGATCGCATCTTGGCCCGTAAAATAAAATAAAAAATATAAATTGATCGAAAGCGGCGAAATTAACGAGCGACGTGAATAAAAATAAAGGAAAGTGAGGTCGTCGGCGTCGGCGTCGGTGACGCAAGAGTCGGGGCGAGCTGCTAGCGGTAATTATCGCATTCCTGGTCTGGGACGCTGGTGACGGCGCGAGGCCCAATAAGTAATTCCTTTGCAGAATGATAACTTTTCGAAAGTACGCGTGGCTAACAGGGGATAGATATATTAGGGATGGGGGGAGGAGGTGGAGATGGAATATATTGCGGCGGCGTCCTTGGTCCTTGGGAAATGAGCTATCGCGGAGCCAACAGTTGCGAAACTAACGAGAGGAAGAAGATGAGCAAAAGTAAACGAAAAGAGGTAAGCTGTGGTTGTTACGGAATCTCAATTGAAGGTATGATACCTAATGCAGAACAAAAGGGATCAGAATATCGGCCAGAGTAAAGGAGAGAGGACCCGTGTGACGACAGAATCCGGATGCAAAGAACACTTGAGACGGGGATTCTTGTTGCCGAAGCATGTCAATGCTAGCTAGCTACAGATCAAAAGCGAGTTTAGAAGTTGCCAAGGGGGCAAGGGGGCAAGGTGCTTGTGGGTGCGGTTTGACGCGAAGCAAGTTTCAGGTTAAAAGGCGGCTCTTGGCTCTGGAAGGGGTTGGAACCCGTCGCAGCGTTTGACGATGCTGTTCATAAAGGAGACAGAGCATCCGTTCCTCCCCAGACCTGCGCTGCCGGCGTGGACGACTTGCAATCTCACCGTCGCCTGGTCTTCTTATATTACCCCACGAGGCGTTTTCTTTGCCAAAGTAGACACGGGATGAAAAAGAATGAGAAGCTTGTACCCTATGTCGCGACAAAAGCATTGTAACGGAGACGGACCGGGTCCTCGGGTCGGTTTGTCGGCAGCCGTTCCGGATAGTGGGGTCCAGAAGGACCATGCAACCGCCTTGATCACCTAAGGTAGGTATGGTATGGCCTCACGAAGATACCTAATCTTGTCTCGAATCAAGGGTTCGTTCTTCATTTCATATAAAGTGTAAGATCGATTCAGGACTTGACCATGCCAATAACAATAAACCCTTCGTTGTTAAGGACGGTCCTCTATTGAGACTGGAGCTTTCTACTCCGTACTGGGTACGAACGAGTACCCGACGTTGATCGAGGTGACCGTGACATATGAAGTACCTTACGCCACAACTCCACAGCTCCACACCAGCCACCCACACATGGTCTGCGCCCTCCGGCAGACAAGGTGCCACGAGAGGTCCTCAACCTCAACCTCAACCTCAACCTTCATCCTTGCCCCTCACAATCACAAGTATCACCCGTACAAATATAGCCGCGTTTAACTCAGTTGACACGACATAACATACTCCAACAGCTATTATAAACCAATTTCTCGTTGTTCTCTTCGTTCGGCTGGTGGGTGGAGCTAATCCGCGACGCATCAGCTCAAGATGGAGGCATCACGCCTCTCATCCTCCACCCGACTCCTCCGTCGTCATATCCTCAATTCTTGTCCCATTCAACTCACCTGGAGCGCCTGCCGATCATCTTCTCGTCACAGTCCCCCCGCGAACCGGCGTTCCCGTCACAGATCCGGCCATGTCGTCGCGACCCGCACCCTGTCCACCACAGCCGCCCACCGCGCCCCCCCTCCTAGCTTGAAGGATTTCCTCAAAATCTCAGATGAAGTTGCGGATGCCGTTGCCACGAACAAGCCCGTCGTTGCCCTCGAGTCCACCATCTACACGCATGGGGCCCTCGGCAACGACCTCGGCCTGGAGGAGATTGTCCGCCAGGGCGGTGCCGTCCCCGCCGTCTGCGGCATCTTGGATGGTCGCCCCACGGTGGGTTTGACGTCGGACGAGGTCGCCCGCATGGTCGAGTCTGGTACTGCGAAGAAGGCTTCGAGGCGTGATATTGCCTACCTTGCTGGTCTGGTAAGCACATGAAAACCCCCCTCCCCTCCATATTTTTTTTCATTCGGGGGAAACTCGTGCCGTATCGTAATCAGGTCTGCCCCATTGCCCCACCCAGTTCATCACTCATCCTATCGGTCAGGGTTTTGTAAACCGCAAGCTCCATGGAGGCACCACCATCGCGGGCACGATGCTTCTCGCTCGTCTCGCCGGCATCCGCGTCTTCGGCACCGGCGGCTTGGGCGGCGTGCACCGCGACGGCGAAAACTCCATGGACATCTCCGCCGACCTGACCGAGCTCGGCCGCACGCGCGTAGCCGTGATCAGCGCCGGGTGCAAGGGCTTCCTCGACATCCCCCGCACCCTGGAGTACCTCGAGACCCAGGGCGCCCTCGTCGCCACCTTCGCCGACCAGAGCCAGAACCAGAACCAACCCGGCTCCGGCTCCGGCTCCGGCGCCGCCGCGGTCGAGTTCCCGGCCTTCTGGGCCCGGTACAGCGGCGTCAAGAGCCCCGCCGTGGTCGAGAGCGAGCGCGACGCCGCGGCCATGATCCTCGCCCAGGAGACGCTCGGCATCGAGTCGGGCATGCTCTTTGCCAACCCCATCCCGGAGGAGCACGCCATCCCGCGGGCCGAGATGGATGCCATCATCGAGACGGCCGTGCGCGAGGCGGCCGAGAAGGGGTTCACCGGCGCGGCGAACACGCCGTACGTCCTGCAGGTCATCCGCGATATGACGGGCGAGCGGAGCACCTTGGCCAACAAGGTCCTGGTGAGGTCGAACGTGGAGCGGGCTACCCGGGTCGCCGTGGAGCTGTCTCGCCTGCTTGCCGGGGAGGAGCCGGCGGGCCCAGCGTCGGCGTAAGTGGAAAAGAGGAGAGAGGAATTTTCTTTTCTGGTGACGAAACCATATTTTTCTTTTTTTTTTTTTTTTTTTTTTTTTTGCATATGAAACGTTAGCACCGCCGTCTGACGCCGTAGATAGACAACAGCAGCAAGAAGAAGAACAGCCGAAGACTCATTTCATTGTCTTTGGGCGCGAAAAGACACCAGTGACACAACCATCAACATCACTCTCGGAACCAGCCAAGGCCGATATCCTAGTGGCCGGATCCGTAGCCGTTGACCTGAGCTGTGACTACCACCCTTTGGCCCATTCCAAGGCCAAGGGCAAAGCGCCTCAGCTCGAGACGTCTAACCCTGCTGCCATCTCCCAGACGGTTGGTGGAGTGGGACATAACGTCGCCCTTGCTGCTCACAGGGTCAGCCAGGACAGCCGGGTCCGTCTCTGTTCCTTGATTGGTGACGATACGTGAGTTCATTTTTTTTTCTTTTTTTCTTCTAGTTCTTTATCTACCTACCTACAGTCTTGGCATCACTCATGGCAACTCAACTCACTGGGACAAAAGTGCAGGGTCAACCGTCGTGAATTCCCTACAAGCCTCTGGACTTGATACAACGTACATCAGGACACTGGGCCATGACTACCACGCGTCAGCCCGCACGGCGCAATACGTAGCCATCAACGACGCCGACAAGAACCTCGTGCTCGCCATGGCCGACATGGGCATCTTCACCAACCACTCCTTCCCCGACTACTGGAAGTCGGCCGTCGCCGGCACGAAGCCCAAGTGGCTCGTCGTCGACGGCAACTGGAACCCGCGCGACATCCGGGCCTGGGTCTCCGCCGGCCGCGCCCACAACTGCAGCGTCGCCTTCGAACCCGTCTCGACCGCCAAATCCGTCGGCCTGTTCGCGCGGGAACACCTGGACGGCACCGGCGTGTTCCCGGCCTGCCCTGCGGTCGACCTGGCGTCGCCCAACCACCACGAGCTGGCGGCCATGTGGGCGGCGGCCAAGGAGAACGGCTTCTTCGACACGCCGCGCTGGTGGGAGGTCGTGGACGCGTTCGGGCTGCTGGGCGCCCGGGACAGGTTCCTGCGGATCACGGCGTCGGCGGAGATCACGGATGCGGGGGTCCCGGTCCAGTGCGTCCAGTTGCTCCCTTACGTCCCGACCATTGTCGCCAAGCTGGGGTCCAGGGGGTGCCTGCTGACGACGGTCCTGGGGCGCGACGACCCCCGGTTGCGGGACGCGCGGGAGGAGGAGTGGATTCTGACCCGGTCGCTGAACGATCATCCTCATGTGGGCGGCATATACATGAGGATGTTCCCGCCGGTGGAGAACGTCGAGGACATTGTGTCGGTGAATGGTGTAGGCGACACGTTCCTCGGGGTTCTTGTTGCCGGGCTGGCGAAGGGGGGGAGGGTTGAGAAGCTGATTGACGTTGCCCAGAAGGGTGCCGTGCTTACGCTCAAGAGTCACGAGTCTGTGAGCCCTGATCTGGGGAGGTTAGAGAGCCAGTTGAGGGAAGCCGTAAAAGCGTCCTGAGGGATGGTCGCGAATCTGCTGCTTTGGCTTAGACCCACTGCTTAGGATACAGGATATTGATCACGGCAGCGAGCTGCATCCATGGGTGAAGGTGCAATGTGAAGTATGGAGCCCAGCCGCATCCAAGGCTAGCCGTCCGCTGTAGTTTATGGCCAATGTAATTTTATAATTTAATACAAGAACGTAGATAGTTAAGAAGGGAATCGAGGTGTCTGAGGTGCATCCGAAGCTTTGGAGTGTCTGGTGAAGGCCAGGTTGTCGTCGCTGTTGGCGAGAAATGAGGCCGACGGAGGGCTATGGAATCTTCACAGACACTGTACCTTGAATAAATCACCGATTCAAGTCATCGTGTCGACACAAGAACATACAATTTACAAGAGTAGCACCTTCGGGCAGTCAGTGTTGGTGGTGATGATGAGTGGATGAGTACGTCCAGGTACGTACCCAGGGGAATTCATGATTAGAGAGCACAGACCACCGTGGCCAACAGATAAATGGAGCATCTCTCAGCCTTGCAGGTATGTCAGGTTTCGATTGGTCACCTAGATGTGACTTGATTTGGCAGCCAATGGGCTAGTCCTCAAGCTCAGCCTGGTGCACTGTGGGATGGAAGGACCAAAAGAAAAAAGAAAGAAAAAAAAGTTCGGAAAATGGGGCAAGTTCACAACCAACTTTGATCGGTCTTCCCACCCGTAACACAAACATTCCACCCACAATGGCAGATCAACAAGACTTTGAGGGCTTCTCTGACGAGTCCTCTGTGGAAGAGGAGGTCAATTCTTCGGAAGACGAGTCAGAACCAGAAATTCTCACCAACCATCAACCAAACAAAACCGTCACAGCCAAGGATGCCGAAGAGGAGGAACTCGAGCGCCTCGTCCTAGGAGATAGACGCACCTTCCGCGACCAACTATTCAACCACGATCCTCTCAGCGACTTGGAACTCCTGGAGAAAAGGCGCCAGCTACAACTTGCCGAACCCGAAGAACCGGGCCTCGAGGACGTGCCCGACACCGACCTCTTCTTTCTCGACACCGCTGCCCCCACCGCCCCCGGCGAACAGGCCGCGCAGGCGAAAGCACAAGACGAGGCGGGCCGAGTCGACGGCGACGCGCCGGCCTGGGAGGACAGCGACGACGAGAGGTTGACCGTGTCGCTGGCCGGCGTGTCGCAGCTGCGGAAACTGCGCATCGCCGAGAGCGAAGACGTCGTCAGCGGAGCCGAGTACGCGAGGAGGTTACGGAGGCAGTACCTCACCCTCCACCCGTTGCCGGCGTGGGCCAAGGCCGCCGAGGGACGTCCGGCGAAGCGGAGACGGAGGTCGTCAGCCACAGGGTCGGATGGCTCGGCGAGCTCGGCGGAAGAAGACGAAGGCGAAGACGAAGACGGCGAAGACCTGGACATGGAAGCGGCGCCCCTGGACCGGTTCATGCGGGACGTCGCCAAACTAGCAGGCACGGCGGGTGCGGGTGCGGGGCAGAAGAGGAAGCTCCGACCGGAGGTCCTCGACATCCAGCGCACGCGACCCTTGGCCGACACGCACAAGGCGGCGGTGAACAACCTCTCGTTCCACCCCTCGTACCCCGTGCTGCTCTCGTCGAGCGTGTCGTCGGTGCTGCTCCTGCACCACATCAACCCGACGGCGCACCCGACGCCGAACCCGCTGCTGACGTCCGTGCAGGCCAAGCTGATCGACGTCCGGCGCGCCGAGTTCCTGTACCCCGCCGGCGAGCAGGTCTTCTTCGCGGGGCGGCGCCGCTACTTCCACAGCTGGCACCTGCAGTCGGGCGTCGTGGAGAAGACGACGCGCATCCAGGGCGGCCACCGCGCGGAACACAAGTCGATGGAGCACTTCCGCCTCAGCCCCTGCGGGCGCTACATGGGCATCGTGGCGTCGACGCGGAAGGGCGGCGGTTTGGTCAATATCGTCAGCGTGGCGTCGAGGCAGTGGGTTGCCGCTGCGAGGCTGGATAGTCGGCACGGCGTGGCGGATTTCGCGTGGTGGAGCACGGGCGAGGGCCTTTCGATCCTGGGACGGGATGGGTCGGTGGGCGAGTATAGTATGGCGGAGCGCAGGTTCCTGGGCGTCTGGCGTGACGAGGGCTGTGTGGGCGGGATTGTCATCGCGCTGGGCGGGCATCAGGGCCCGGGCGTGCTGGGGGATGATCGCTGGGTGGCGGTCGGGTCCAACAGCGGCGTCACCAACATTTACGACCGGAACGAGCTGTTCGTGGCAGGCAGCGGCAATAAGAAAGTGGGAGGCAAGGCTGGCGCCGGTGGCGTGGAGGAGGTGACGATCAAGGCGACCCCGGAGCCGGCACGGCGGTTTGAGCAGCTAGTGACGCCCATCACTGTCCTCGCTTTCTCCCCCGACGGGCAGCTGATGGCGTTTGGGAGCCGGGAGAAGAAGGACGCGCTGCGGTTGGTTCACCTGCCTAGCTGCACCGTGTACCGCAATTGGCCGACGGAGAACACGCCGCTGGGACGCATCACCAGCGTCGCTTTCGGGAGGGGGAGCGACTTGCTGGCGGTGGGGAACGATGCGGGCAAGGTGCGGTTGTGGGACATACGGAGTTGAAAGAGAGAGAAGTCAACTGAAATTATACTGTGGTATTATTAGGGTGAGGCGGCCAGCGGCCTCGGAGCACCCAGGTAGAAAAGGATACTGGACGACAAACTACCAAAATCTTTACATCACATCAACTTCATTTCGGACCCTTTCCCTCGTGTCTGACGTCGCCTTCCTCCCTCTCTTCCTTACCGTCTGTTAGAGCTTCCACCTGGGCCCCCTGTTCTATCGCCCCTCGTCCCGCTTCACTGGTCGGCAACCGAAAAGAATGCCGCCCCACATGGGCAAGGAGCTTCCTCAACGGGCTCCCTGCTGGGATGTTCTTCTTGGGGAAGCTGCTGCCGGTAAGGTGTGTATAGCGTGCAAGGCTACGTTCGCTGGAAAAGTGGACGACGTCCGAGGGCCTGCTCCCTGCTTCGAGGAACTGGGGGATGTTGATCCAGACGGTCCGTAGGGCCTGTTGTGCGCAAAGAACAAAGATAAGAAAAGAAGGTTATCGCGGCACTTCCTGCGCCTCGTTGATAGGTTTATGTTTATGTTTATTCACTTACCTTGCGGCACTGGTTCTTGCTCGTAAAATCACGTTCAAACCCCAGATCGGCCATGAGGCGCTGCCAGTCGCTGAGTGACCCTTCGCCAAAGTAGGCATTGCATAGGGCGAGGAGACGCTGGTTACGAGTCTGGGGACGGCACGCCGGGGAGAGGCTGTTGTCGTTCGGGACCGACACCACGGAAGGTGAGGTCGCCGCCCTTGAACAGGCAGGAGAGGACACCTCCTCCCTTGGCGGCTCGATGCCGAGTTGGCCCGGTGCGCTGTCGCCTCGTTTGTCTCTGTGGGTTTTCACGTCTCTGCCTCCCTCTTCTTCTTCTTCGTCGTGGTGGCTATCCAAGGCGAACATGGAAGAGTCCGACTCGCCACTGGCAATTAGCTGTTCCCAGCCATTCTCATCGTCTTCTGTTTCGTCCACGTTGGTCTTTGTCGCGTTGTCCCGTGTCTTTGCTCCGTTGTCCTGACTCTTTGTTCCGTTGTCGTCCCTGGGGTCGAAAAGGAGGCTGGAGGGGGGTGGGGAAGGTGAATGCCTCCTGCCTTCCTTGTCAGACGGACTGGCCTGCCTGAGGACGAGCAGAGTTGAATGAAGGGGAGTCGTTCGGTTGATGCCGGGGGCCCTGGAGATGGGTTGTGTTGCGACGGCATCTTTATACTCGTCGTTCTTAGGGGCATACGTATGAGCTTCCCCCGAAGCGTTTCCGTTGTCCTTCATGCCGATGGGATCCGCCCGATACTTGGCGAGGCCTTGGACTTATGTTACCCCTGATTCCAGGCACGCACGGAGGGGCAGATGATGGCCGTGTCGCTAACAAGCCCGGGAGTGCCGTGAGGGGCCGGGGAGTACTGATTATACATGTATCCATAGTGTCGAGGCCCATGGCCCATTGCTATGCTGACGTCACGAGTGATCAAGTCTATACCTCTCTCGTATCGTAGCGCTGGGGTTGCTGACTTTCGGCTCTTGTTCTTACTTGGCGGGGTTGGGGTTGGTGTAAGCTATGTAAGTAAACGCGTATAAAGGCGTCGTGGAGGTGGTAGAGAGAAAGGAACGAAGATGTGGCTTTGGCCGTGGCTGTGGCGTGCACGCCAAAGTGGCCTCCTGAAATCTTGCAAGTCCGGTAATAGTAAATAACATCAGAGAACCAAACCATCCTGCGACACCGAGGGGATGATGGGTGGTGGGTTAGAAACTCTGCTGTCAGGGTACAGTGCCTCGAAAACCATGGAACTGTACTTCATAGGTACACAGTACACATTACCTTATGAAATACAAAGATACGAAGACGTACTGTACCGGCCATCACGTGGTGCTCTCGCCTCGTTCTAGCCTTCTAGGGCATGGGATCATTCATCAGTCGAAGCGACTCAAAATCTTGCCACAAAAACAAAACACATCAACCGCATCGACCGCATCGACCGCATCGACCGCCTTGCTACCAAACCAAACCTGACTAACCAAATAACCTACCAGGGAACCAGCTACAATACGGATAGACCCGACGAGCGCCCCCTCTCGAGAGGTAAAACGGGCCCCGAAACTCAACTCGGCGCCTGGCAAGCGCCGAACTATCACTATCTATTCAGCCCCATCAGCGACCCGCTGGACTGAGTTGTCTGCGTTGTCCGAGACCGCCTGCAGATTGCAGCATCACTGCGTCGATTCCCGTCCCGTCGTGGTTGCCCAGCTACTTGGATGCTAGCCATCTTGCCTTTTCGGGCATCATCCCGAGACAGGTCAAGCTGGGACAATCCCCAGCCTCCTCGCCCTCCTCTACGTGTAAGTCGAGTCTGGACATGGAACAGCCCACATGTTTCCACTCTGTTTCCACACCACAGCACAAAAGAGAGTCGCACAATGTTTTCAAAGCTCGCCAATGCTTTGGGTGTCGGGCGGGCCACCCTTTGAGCCCATCGTCATATCCAAGGCCCCTGTCTCCTCTCCACTCCCTTGGTAGCCCAGAGAAGACGGCTGGTATTGAAATCTATTAAAAAACAAAAAAAATCCCTGCGACACGCGAGAATACACGACACACGACCAGAGACCCACGACATGTATGGAATCCAAGACCGCGTTTCCCACATGTCACGAACGCCCTAGCTCCCATGCTCGTCAATTTTTTTTTCTTTTTTCTTCTTCTCTTTTTTTCTTTTCTTTTCTTTTTTCTTTCTCATCTTAAACTGCCCTCCGTGACCATTTTACCATCTCGCCCTCTCTTTGTCTCTCCTCTCCCCTCCCCTCCTCTCCCTCTTGTTTCTTCGTGATCAATATCTTGCATGCCTTGTTCGGAAAATATAGGCGGTGACTTCATGCAGGCTCCGCACCTGCATTAGCCCACGCTTCTTCTCCTCTCAAATCCACCGCTTTCTCTCCCTCTCCTCTCCGATCCAGTCGTCGTCCCGCCTTGGGCTGTGACTTGCTCTTCGCTCCCCTCCATCTGTCCAGCCTCTTTACTTTCCCCGGGGCGGGGGGACCTCTTAACTTGCCCGTCAGCCTGTCAACTCTTCCGCCAACCATCCTAACCAAACTCTTGAATCTCCCTCCTCTCCTCCCTCTCCCTCCTCCTTCGTCCCTACCACTCCCGCATGGTCGTTTAGACCAGAGACGAAGAGAGAGTCTGGGACCCATCAAAAAGAGACGCCACACCCGTCATGATGGCGTCTCAAGATTCTACTGCCGCCGCGCCACCGCCGGTGAGACCGAAATCTCAGAGAAGGTTCCTTTTGGTCAACAAGCGGCCGTCTTCTTCATCCTCCTTCTCTTCCCGCTCCAGGGACAGCATCCCGCCGTCGCGACCGCCACCCAGACCCGCCCCCTTGTCCATCCGAGCTACCGTCAAATTCAACGCCCCCTTGGATCATGTCCACGAGAACACCTACGATACTTCACCCTTCTTCGACCCTACCGACCACTTTTGCCAGACTCTGCTGCGCCGCCTCGACCATGGCTGCACCGAGCTCATCACTCGTAGAGACTCGACCGCTCTCGATAACAGGTCCGGTGAAAAGACCCTTCGTTTCGAGATGACCTTCACCATTCGTCGCGCTGGTAGCCTTTGGTCGGCCCGATCATATCGTTCCTACCAAAGACTCTTCCTGGACAGCCAGTCGGCCTCGGACGTTGCTGAGGCTACTGACCGCATCATCGGTTCCTTTCTCAAACGCCACGACCAAAACTTTAAATGGCACGCCCTGGAGCCAGCCTCGTTCGAGCCCGACCCCACCATGCTCTCCGTCCCCCTTGCGCGCTTCGTGGTGGCCAAGCAGGACTACGAACGCGTACCTGGCTACGAAGTCACTTTCACCTTCAACAGCCAATGCAAGTCTCGCCCTGATCCATTTTGGGAGAAGCGCATCGCCGTCAGGAGTCGCCAGAGCACACCCCTGACACTTGCCCTGGCCGAGGAGCTATCCTGGAATTTGTCGCAAGCCATTCAGAATGCCCTCGACCTGCGGAAGAAGACGCTGGATCAGGACCACCGTTCTTCCTGCGATCCCATACTGGACGGGGATGCCTGCGGCCACCTGGACGAGCGCTCACTCAATGTCGCCTTCCGGATACAGAACCACCTTGGCGCCGATGTTTCTCACCTGCACCGCTCCACCACTACCAAATTGGCCCTCTTCCGCCACCCGGAGGGCCTCGACTGTCAGGAATTCACCGACGACCTTGAGAAATGCATCTTACGTCTCCGAGACCATGCTGACGACGCACTTGGTCGCTATGACGACCTGCGCATCATTGTCCGCCAACTGTCCGGGACTGGCTGGGAAACCAAGGACCCTTTCTCTCTGTCTGTCGACTCGTCCACCTGCTACTCGAGGCGCACCATTCAGGCCGTCTTAGATCGACTGCAGTCAGGAATTGGCGACGTTTCTCGCGGGAGAAACGTCACTTTGACTCTAACGGCCGTCAAGCGCGGCCATATTGTCGTGGATAAGACTTTGGTTGCTCGCTCATTCCGGAGGCAGACCGTGGAGGACCCCCAGAGCGAAAAGGACACCCTTCTGTCCATGCTGAAAGATCGCATGCAATCGGACGTAGCCATGGTCATCCGCGACACCGGTTCTCTTGCCGACTCTGGCGAGTCGCTACCACCCAACCTACGACTCGTCGATCGACCTTCTCCCGTCTCGCCGGAAATCCTTTCCCAGCCGGTTCAAGCTCCCCTCGCCCACTCACCAGGCGAAGACGTATCGGCGACGACCACGCCACCTCGCCGCTCGAGCTACGCCGCCATCTCATTCACCATGACGGACAACGGCGGCGAGTCCGCAACGCCCTCAACCCGCCCCGCCACCCCCAGCTTGTGCGACCACGACATCGACACGCCCATGGAAAGCCTCGTCTTCACGCCTTCTCCTTATCGCACGCTGGACCATTTCGTCATCCGGAAGGATCTCGACGACCACCGCCACCACCACCACGCAAGGGCGGACTCTTTCGGAGCCGAGTCGGCCGTGGAACCAGTCGTCAAGCCCCTCAAGGAGCCGAGACGGTTTAGCCTACTCGGCCGCGATTCTCGTCCCAGTACGCCTGCTTCGATGGCCATCCCTCTTGAAGCGAATGTCGTCCCTGATCCCCACGCCGGACAGGAGGAGGAGGAGGAGGAGGTTCTTCTCGATGCTGGTTCTTTGGAGGGATGGCTGGAATTCACCTGCGAGCCGCTTGAGTGCGAAGAGATGGCGAGGGATGTCTCGGCGTCTTGCCATGCGAGCGCCCGGGATTCCGGCGTCGTTGTCGAGGAAGAATCGGCGCCTGTGGCCGCTCCAGAGTTGGCAGGCTGCGTGGAGGGTTGCCTTGGTGCGATCGATGACGGCAGCGACGGTTGTGTCGGGCCAACGACGGTCAGGCTGGGAGTTCTCGAGTTGGAGACTGTCGAAGTGGCTGTCGAAGTGGGGGAGGTCAGCTTAGAGCAGACCGAGACAGAGTCTGTCGAGCCTGAGATTGTCGAGCTCGGGACCGTCGAACCAAAGACTGAACCAAAGACTGAACCAAAGACTGTCGAGCAAGAGCCGGAGCAGATTCTGTCGGAACAGGTTGCACTGGAAGAGGTCGAGCCAACACAACTTGAGCCAGGCATTGTCGAGCCAGAAAAGGCCGACGTAGAGGCTGTCGAGCCGGAGGCTATCGAACCGGAGGCCGAAGTTGAGACGCCTGAAACGAAACGGGTCGAGCCAGACCCCGTCACACCCGAGGCGGCCGAATCACACCCCATCGAACCGGAGGAGGCTGAGCCAGATCAACGACTACCCGAAGGTGTCGACTCTGAAACGGACGGTCCTCAAAGCAGAAGGGCCGTGGCTCCTTTTGATGATCCTCCGGCCGATGAAACCCCCCAGCCCAAGACGCCAGCCATGACCATTGGCTCGGAAAGCAGCGACACATCCCCTTCGCAATCCCTTACCCCCGTTCAGCCCGGGTCACAGCCGCCAACCAGGATCGTTGGCACTTTTCCCGCCATGTCAAGGACATGGCGGTCCCAGTCCTTGTCTCCATTCATATCAGGAGACGGCGAATTTGACACGCACCTTCCCGAGACGCCATCCAGGCCCGCCCGCAAACGGGTGAATTCTCACGACAACCCTTTCCTTTTTTCGATACCGATATGCCTCCCAGTCAAGCATTCGCCTTCGGACGTCGGCGGCCTGAAACTACCCTTACCCATCCGAACCCGTCGCGACCGCGGCGCCCCCCATGTTCATCACAAACGCGAATTCTCCGTCCCGACGGCGGGCCTCTTCGGTCTCCTGCAACACCCGGACTCACCCCTCCGCCTGCAGAGCTACTGCGCCTATAAGCAGTGGGACTACCTCCGCCACCAGCGGCAGACGTCGTCCTCGCCGGCCGATGCAGATGTCGGTGTGGTGCGCGAGTCCAAGTCGGAAGGGGAAAGGAAGCGAGAGCGAACTGGTCCCGCGCGACTCCTGCTGGGGTACGGACAGGAGAAGGTGGCCACGCCTTCCCCTGCCGAGGTGGTGCGGCCATCGCGTCCGAGGGTGATGTCGGCTGAGGGCATCGTGGCGGACGCGAGACGGAGGGCTCGTAGCGGGAGTGGGAGCGAGGTCCGATCTCGATCGGGGAGTATGCTCGGGGCCGCAATCTGGTCGAACTAACCGGTCAGATTTTGCTGTCCTCATTCCTTATGTTTTTTTTTTCTGGTTTTTTTTTTCTTCTTTTCTTTCTTTTGAACTTTCTTGGCTTGGTGCTTGGGATGTGGTGATTTCAAAGGGCTGGTGTAAGGGGTTTGCGTATACAAAAACATTGCGAGCATTTTTCGGCTTCCAACGGGAAAACAATGGGATTACGCTTTGGACTGGGTACAAAGAGATGGTTTTGGGAGTTTTGGTCGAGTTTATAGTTTATGAGGTCTTGTTGCGAAACTCGCGTCTTAGAGGGAAAGAGACGAGACATACAACCCCGTCTACAACTGCGAGAACGCGCAAAGAGAGGGCGGATATTCATATTTAGGAGCAAGGCGTGGGCATTAACATAGCCCATGCGCATACCTACAAACATACAGATATACCAAGAAGAAACAGATATACAACCTGCACATTATAAGAACAATAACAACACAAAATTGAAAGATATTGGATTCTCAAAGCTCTACCCAATTGTGTATTGGATGTGGAATGTGTCTGTAATGAATTTAGTTGAGCCCGTCTTAGGCTTCCCGTCTATTAAATGTGTTATGATCGTTTTGGATGTTGATGACCTCCTGGAATGGTCTCCAAACGCAAACATAGCTCTGACCCTCGTTCGTACCTGCAAGTAACATGTGCACCCTGAATCTGGAGCGCAGCGCATGCGGGTGCGAATAAGAGGTCTGTCTCTTCGGTAAAGTCACGTATGGTGTGTTCTTCCGCTTCACGCAAGCTCGGCACCGCCACTCTCAACCAGAGACTTGGCGCTCGACCACCGAAGGATGAGTATATCCCCCGCCTTCCCATCGATAGCGCCATCCGAGTCGGTCCCCCGGCCCTCAACGAGTGCATCTCGGAGCAGGCGGATGAACACGGCCGTGTCCAAGTCGGGGGAGTCGATCATGCTGATGTTCCCCGCCGTGTCATTGAGGTTCTGCAGCTGCGGCGGGAACGACGACAGGAAGGACGAGAGGTAGTGGTTGTGCAGCAGGGCCTGGTGGCGCGTCGCGTAGGCCAGCTCGGTGGGGGAGAGGCGGGCGCGGAGGGTCGGGTTGGAGAGGTAGTGGAGCGTGTGTTTGTCTATCTGTTTGGGGGTTTCCCGCCTTTGTGAGCGAATTATCCCCCCCCCTCGGAGGGTCGTAGAGGAGAGCTGTTGCGATGGATCCTCATCTCATGTCTGTCTGGGCCTACCTTGGCGATACGGGCGCGCAGGTAGCTCCGCACGAGAAACTTGAAACGCTCCAGCTCGGTTTGGATGACGATGAGGGCGAAATTGGTCTTGGGGTCCATGTCGCCCGTCATGTCTTCAATCTTCTCGATCTGCTTTTTGATGCGCTCGTTGACGCGCTCGAATATGCCGTCGGCGGGCCATCTACGGGCGGGCGAAGAAAACGTCAGGTACGCGGGAGCAAAGGAGACAAAGAGAGGAAGAACGAGGACAATGCCACATACTCTAGCAGTTCCGGGGCCGACCTCTCCGCTACCCAGGCACGCGTCAAGGCCTGCAAGTCGCGTGTCTCGGAGGGGATCGAGTATGAGACCGGGTCGACCTCGCGGAGGATGTCGTCGATGTCCATTAGGAGAGGGGAAAAGGGGGCAAGAAAGGAGAGAAAGAAGAAGAAGAATTTGTCAAATCATTATGTGCGGAGAGCAAAATGCAGGAATACAACGAAACCACCACAGCAAAATATCCAGGTGCTCGAGTGAGGTGTATGATGATGGATGAGCTTGGAGTCTATGCTTGAATGGTTATGGTGTTGTACCACCTCGAATACCTCGAATAGAGTGGGGTTCGTTGGAGGGGGTTCAAGGGACAAGCTGGGTGCGTATGTTAGTATGGGTCATGTTAGTAGTATACCTTTCATCCTGCCATTTACATCGTGTCGATGCAAGTATCGCACTAGCTTCGCTTTGGTGGTCAAGGGACAAGGAGAGCTCCAAGTGTCCATTAAGACCAATCAATACCATGGAACAAGCCTGGGCGTATACGAAACTGGAATATATCATCTCATAATTCATGTTTCTCCTTGTCTGAAGTTGTATGCTAAAGCAATGTGTGCGCCAGGTGTATTCCTTGTCTTGCAAGTCCTCCCTGCCTGGCCCAAGTCAGATTCTATATGATTACTGCGCCGCTCTCTTGCGCACCCAAGATCCTTTCCTTCAACCCTTTTCCTCTGTACACAAGACTACAAGTCGAAGAGCTCCCTGACGATGCGCATGGTATCTTCCGGACTCTTCACACTATGGCCGGTGACGCGGGGGTCGGTATAAATCTCATAGTCGTTACCGCCCTCGTACGTCTTATCCCCGAAAAAATGGATCGTGGTGAACTTGACACCCCCCGGCTTCTCTGCCTCGGCCTCAAGATGGCGCAGGCAATACGTCTTATCCCACCCCTTCGGGAACACGTCAAAGGAGATCTGGCCGCCAATCGAGTACGTGAGGCCGAGGTGCGCGAACCTCTCGCGCAGCGTCTTGACGAACGCGTCGCGGACCCTGTGCTCCCTGTCGTAGCGCTCAAACTCGTTGCGCTCCTCGTTGGACGCGTTACGCCCGATGGGCGACACGTTGATCATGCCGTTGCGGAACTCGACGAACGTGCCGCGCTTGACCGGGACGTCCAGGTCGGCGATGTAGTGCAGCATGAAGCTGACCAGCTCGCGGTACTGCGCCTCGCCGATCCACTGGATGAAGCTGTTGGTCGGCAGCGCCGCGCCCATCTTGTACCCCACCAGCCCGTTCTCCGCGAAGTTGAAGTCGAACATGGACGTCACGGGCGTGTTCGACGGCGCGCCCAGCTGGTTCTGCTGCTTGGCGAAGTTGGACCCGCCCACGGTGGCGATGGCGACTTTGCGCCGGAGGTCGGCGAGGAGTTTGGTCATCTCCGGGGTGACATCCTAGAAGGGGGGAGACATTATCCCGTTCTTAGCCAGGTATGCACTACTGCAGTGGAACCGAAGAGACGCAGGACGAAACAGGGGAAACGGGAGAAATGGAATGGCTGGTTGATGGCCTACCTTGCAAGCGCCTGTGAGGGTGCCGTCAACGTCGAAGAGGCAGATGGTGTTTTTGATCGGCCGGTCCTCGAGGGGAGGGTAGTCGGGGGTATGCGCCGTGGCAGACATGAGGGCGGCGGATCAATGGAGGAGAGTGAGACGAAGACTGTTGAGACGAGGAAGAAGAGGCGGAAGAGGAGGAGAGAGGAAGTATCTCGTTGGTTGGAGAAGACGATCAAGAATACAGTCGAGCTCGGGGGATATCACCGTGATGTTCGAGCGGAAAGGGAGGAAAGCGGTCAAGCAACACGTTCCTGCCGATTTAAGACCAGAGAATTCCAAGTTCGACGTGATGGAGCTTGCACCTGCCCCGCGTTCCATGTTGCAGTTAGTACATGGTACGTATGTAGTACGTTTAGGTCACCTTGGCACGCAGCTAGGTAATCACCACGTGAAGGTACTTCGCACATACCACATAGGTACTCCGTACATCAGGTACACGCCATGCAACCAATCGAATTGCGCTGTGCTCTGAAATGTCCTGTTCCTGGCCTGTCTCCGGGGGCCTTTTAGCGGTAGCTTCCCCAAAGGTACCTATCACTACCTTAACGGACTGGTCGATCACCCGTTTCACCCTTAGCCCACCTAAACTGGCGGAGTTGCTGTTTCGAGGCACCCCGTTCCTCGGACGAGAGAAAGACACCCAATCCCCTCGTATTGCTGACCCCTCATTGCCCCTCACCGACACTCTCAGGGGTTGGAGGGGCACTCCGCAGTCTCCGCTTACTTGTCATAGCCTGTTAAGCAGCACTACGCGGCACTTACAGGACTAAAACTGACTGATAGGACAAACAGAACAAGCCAAAAAGCCCGACTTTTGAATTCTCAACGCACGCTATGCAACGCCATAAACGGCATTCCTATCATAACACGGCTCAGCCTTGCCCCAGACAACGAGGGGGGAAAAGTCCGGTATGGTAATCATCCCAAAGGGAAAGCCATCAGGAGGTCACATCCGTCCACACCCCCGTCACCTCAACCGCGATATTCACCACAGTGCCCACGGCCCAGAGCGCGATCAGGCTGTACCCGATCTTGCGCGAGAGCATCCACTTGTTCATCGGCACCACCACGAGAAGCAGGAGGAGGGTGACGAGGAGGGTGACCGCCGAGATCATGAGGGTGCCGTCGATCTGGATCTGGTACGGCTTGTACTTGACCGGTTTGTCCGGGTGTTTCTTCTTCCAGTGATCGGCGGCCTTCATCATCATCCAGACTCCTCCGATGCCGATGCCAAGGAGGATGTTGAGCATGGGGCCGCCAAAACATGCCGAGCTGTAGAAAAAGGAAAAGTGAGACCCTGGTCAGTGTATATGCTCGAGAAGAGTGGAGGGTTATTGAACAAGAGAAGGAAGGACAAAAAGAGAAGAAGAAAAGAAAAGAAGAAGAAGAAAGAAGAAGAAGAAGAAGAAGAAGAAGAAGAAAGAAGAAGAAGAAGAAGAAAAAGAAAAAAAACACTTACAGCGCCATGACTGGGTACCCCAGACGGGCAACGGTCATGTCTGCAACCAAGTCGCCAACGCTGTTACCCGCCGCAAAGATGGTGAGACCGAGCAACGCCTCCGAAATCCCCAAGATGACGCCAAACGCCTTGAGCACCCCAACCACTTCGCCCGCGATGGTCGAAATCCAGGCAACACTGATAACGAACCCCAGGAAGCAGAGGACGAAGTGATGCCTGGGCCGCCGGTTGGGGCTCGTCGTGAGGAGGAGGAAGACCAGGAGGACGAGGGAGGCCAACGACGTGTAAAGGAACATCCGCAGCAGGGTCTTGCCGGGCTGCTCTAGGTCCTCCCGCATGTTCGCCCAGAGGACCAGCATGGCGAACTGGGGCCCCGTGAAGAGCTGGAGCGCCACCAGCCACCGGTTCCACCCGGCCGACTCCTCCTCGGCCTCGAAAGCGGCGTCGCTCTCCGACGCGGCCGTTCCCGCCGTTCCCGCCGTTCCCGCCTCGACACCCTGGCTGAGGCCAGTGCCAGCGCCGGTGACGTCGTCGTCGCCTGGAGGCTCCAGGGCGATGAGTACGGGCGACGTGCGATGGAACGAGCCGCTGGTGGGCGATCTCGATCGCTCCCGCGTGCTGTGTCGTCTGTAGCGTTGCCATTCGGTCTCCGGCGCGATGGCGGCGTGTGGTCGTACAGAGACCGGCTGGGGACGGATATCGGAGAGGAGAGGAGACGGATGCGGCGAGTCTCCGTCGAGGTAATCGTCGGATTCCGTTTCGACGACCGGGAGAGTGATGACGAGGAGTAGAATACTCGGGACCGATATGGCACTCACCAACTTGTCCCACACCGTCTTTTCCCTCCACCCTTGGAGCGTGGGGAACAGGATGGTCTGTAGAACGTGCGGCGGGGGGAGGACGGAGTGCGGCCACCATTTGACAGGTCTAGGTTCGGATACTGGCAGAGGCGGCGGCAGGGAAGCCTCGAACCTGGAAGCCGTAGGCTGCGGGAAAGAGTCGGCATGCTGCTCTTGCGGCAGCGGAGTGAGCAGCAAGGGGGAGTCCGTGTATTGGAACGCAGGGAAAGGGGACATGGGCGAAGAACGGCCGCTGTCCGAAGCAGCAGCGCCGAACTCGGGTATCACAAGACGCGGGGTATGACGCTGTGAAACCGCTGCTGCGTCGACCCGCGGGACGCTCGGATCGACGGGGGGCGGCGCTAGGTTCCCTCCAATCTGGTAACTTGGGGACGGACTGCGCGTCCTGCCTGGGCTGGGTCCCTGCGGCGGCGAAGTAGACGCAGATGTACCGCTAGGCCCGGCGTCGGCGTCGCTCTCGATGGCAGGCAATGGCAGGAAGCGGAAGGAGGGAGGCACGTCGTTTGCCGACAGGGCCCGGTTCCTTCCGTTCCTTCCGTTCCTTCCCGTAGCCTCACCGTGTCCGAGATGGGCGTGGGCGGCGGGATGTTCGTGCCTTGCTGACGCCCCTGCTCCTCCCGTGGTACGGTTGTTGCGATTGCCTTCAACATGATAATCCGAGTATGCCCTATGGCCGTACACGGGTCTCAGCCTCAAGTTGCTTTCCCTTTGCAACTGTGCCAAGGCGGAACGGAATTCCAAAGCGCCTACGAGACTGGGCCGGATGGGAGTGATGGTTGTGCTTCGTCTCCCTCGCGGACGGAGAACGCGCATGCTGCTGGTCATCTCGGCAGCCACTTTGGTCCCGAGATGTTCGTCTTCTTCCGGGGAACCGTCGCCAGCGCTGATCTCATGGCCGTCGATCTCGATACGAGGACCGGCTTCCAACAGGCCGATGTCCGCTTCGTCGGCCCTGCTCCCCCCGCCGACAGGACCGGCCTCGTCGTCGCCCGGCTCATCTCGATAGGGCACCGGGGCGAGCTCGTCATTGGGGTGGCCGACCGCGCCGTAGACATGGCTCCTGGCGGCGGCGTCGCGGACGCGCCTCCGCCTCTGGCGCGTGGAGAACCAGTGCCATCCCACCACGCAGACGACGTAAAAGACGTAGTAGCCGATCATGGCCATGCACTCCCAGAGGTGCAGGTACCCATCGGCCAAGAAAATCATGGTGAAGACAACGGAGACGATGAAGAAGCACAGGTCCCGAATGTAGGTCCTCCTGCCGACCTTGAATTCGCGGACCACGGCCATCGACCCAGCCACCACGGCGGTAATGAAGCTCGCCGCGCCTATGAGCTCTCCCACGGCCATGCTGGCGCTGTTGGAGCCCATGGCGGCAAATGTGCTGAAAACGTCCGGGGACCCATTGCCGAAAGCTAGAAAGGTGACGCCGGCTAAGCTCTCGCTCAGGCCGAGGATGCTGGCGATGGTGCTCAGGTTGACGCTGAAGAAGTCGCTCGCGGCGATGCCGATGGTGGTGAAGAGAAGGCCCAGCCAGCAGACGAGGAGGATGAAGGCGATGCCGCGCAGGTGCGAAAAGCCGCAATAGTAGGGCGTGAGGTAGGAGAGGAGACCGGCCTCGTCATCACCGCAGTAGGCCTTGACGAAGGCGCATTGATCCAGCGCGTCGCGGACATCGTGGCAGTCCTTAGGTCGGGCGCTTCTCGAGACGAGCAACGGGGAGTCGAGGTCTAGTCGCGCTTGCGAGAAGAGCGGCGCGATAAAGGAGTAGGCTGCGAGAGAGCTGATGATGAAGGCGGTAGCGTAGAACGCCCGCAAGCTTGGCTTGGCTCCTCGAATTTTGGAGGCGGTCATTCTCTGACGTCAAAGTCGGTCGCTGGCTGCCGGCATGATGTTTGTCGCCTGTTGAACACCCACACGCACGTCTGTTGCCTGTATAGGAGGCACACGGATATGTGCTGGGCTCGTAGATGGTCTCAATATGAGCTGTGGTGCCTAGAATGAATGCAGACAGTGTCCATAGGTAGGTATAAAAACACCCTAGGTAACGTGAGAAGCGAGAGATGGGGGACAGGCGATGAGGGAGAGGAATTGGATTCGCGGACGGTAGTGTTGGGAGCAAGTCGGAAATAAGGATGCGAATGCGGATGCGAATGCGAATGCGAATTAGGAGTGAGTGAGAGTGAGAGAGAGAGAGAGACGACAGAACAGATGTTCATAAAATAATTAGAGTAGAAAGGATTGATGGGTTCATAGGTAGGCTCATGGGCTTATTTCAAGCTGAGGTGTAACGTCCGAGGTGGCTCGGACAGGCAGCAAGAAAAGGGAAGTTTTCACGAGAGGGTTTTCCTATTATCTACCGGTACCTGTCCATTAAGGTGAGGGTTAGCACCTGATGTCCTAGGTACCTTAGCATACGAAGTACCTTAAGGTACCTTATTGTACGGAGGAATACGGAGTAGCTGGTTACAAGTTTGACAGAAGGTGGCAGGATCATCCAAGGTAACCTGGACTTGGCCCTAATATCAATTCCTCATCATTCCCAGTGCTATCGTACTCATACTGCTATACCATCGTGGCAGTGCACAGACTTAGGTACCGGCGGAGTACGGAGGACTATATTCGGTACTGTGCTTCGGTACCTCCATAGATAAGGTACCTTAAGGAAGAGACTTTATCAGTACCTAGGTAATAATAAGGTACGTACCTGCTCGTCAGCCACACACCCCACGGAAGCTGGACATTTTTGCCTAATCTGTTAGGCCACAACAATGTGAATGTGATTCTGGGCCGGGGTTTGTTTACTTTCTCCACAACACAAGGCCTAGGCGACGCGGGTTGCAACAACTCGAGAGACGGTACCATTCCCTCGAACAGTGAGCACGGCCGATAACGACTGCGACTGCCACTGCGACTTCCACTGCGACTTCCACTGCGACTGCGACTCCCACTGCGACGGCGACAGCGACCGACGAACCTGCCCCCCGGCATCGACATCAACAACGACCACAGACGATGCCTAGAGTCGCCCAAGGACCGCGCTCAGGGACAGCCCGGGCTGCATCCACTACCGCTTCTCCCTTTAAGAATTCCCCCATCAAGTGAGTAGAGAAGCCCATTTGCCCCCCGACCAAAGAAGCAAAGCAAAGCAAAACAAAACAAAACAAAACCAAAGCCCACGACGACAGCGGCGACACAAAAAAGCTGAACAATGCAAACCACTCTCCGTAGGATACCCTTGAACGACGATGTCTCGGAAAAGGCCAAGCGCATGCACTCGAGGCAAGCGCGCCACGAGAAGCAACTCAACGAACTAAAAGCCGCCGCATCGAGCACGCCCGGGCGGAAAATAAGCATCGCCAACCTCGACGACATGGAGAACGCTTCCCCGACCTCGGTCCCTCGCACGCCCCGCGGCGGTCGCGTCCAACGGTTACGGGACGACGGCGACGACGACATCGTGGTCGGCGGCAGCGCCGTCACGCCTATGAAGCGGGTGCCGATCCTCGCCAATTTCGAGGAGTGGATGAAGATGGCCACCGACAACAAGATCAACGCGACCAACTCGTGGAACTTTGCCCTGATCGACTACTTCCATGACATGTCCCTTCTCAAGGAGGGCGACGGCGTCAACTTCCAGAAGGCGAGCTGCACCCTGGACGGTTGCGTCAAGATTTACACCAGCCGAGTCGACAGTGTCGCCACCGAGACGGGCAAGTTGCTTAGCGGTCTCGCCGACAGCAACAGCAGGAAGAAGGACAGGGATGACGCTGACGGGGAGGGCGAGGAGAGCGAGGAGGAAGTCGACGAAGATGGCAATGTCAGGAAGAAGCCCAAGAGAAAGGTACCGGTTTAGCCTCCCCGTTTTCACGAGCCCTGGCTGTACGCACTACGCACTCCTTGAAGGGGGCGCGCGTGAACCAGCTGACTGACGACTCTGATCCCCCCCACAGGCGCAACGGTCTTCGGAGGCTACATTGGCTCCTTCTTTCGCCTCATTGCAGCTGAAGAAATTCGAACTGGAATTCGCCGTCGACCCCCTGTTCAAGAAAGCATCGGCGGATTTTGACGAGGGGGGAGCAAAGGGTCTGCTTCTCAACCATCTCATGATCGACTCCCAGGGCCGCATTGTCTTCGACAGCAGTGACGACGTGGAGGATGCGCAAACGTCCAAGATGCGGAACAAAGGCAGCGACGCCGACGACAACGACGAGGATATGGACGAGGACGATGTTGACGTAAAGACGCCAGACGCCTCGGCTGTCCACGAGCAGCTGCTGGCCGAGGCAGAGGAAGCCGCCGACGTCGAGATCGACCTGGGTGCCCTCGGTGCCCGCTTTTTCCCCCACCTGGGCCGCCTCGACGAGCTGGACATTTGCCCGTCTTTGAAGACGTTCGAACTCGGCAACGCGTCTGGTTCTCTGGATATCCCCTTCTTAAAGGCGCCCGAGGACTGGCGCGACCAGGACCCGGACAACCACACGGCACCGGACCTGAACCTCGGCGACAAGTCCGGCATGTTCATCGACGGCGATAACGCTGCAGGCTTCGACGACGACGACGACGACGGCATCGGCCTCGGCGCTTTCGACATGGGAGCCGCCGACGTTGCTTTCGGCGAGGGCGGAGAGGCTTGGGCCAAGGAGGCCGCTCTGGAACCGCAAATGCGAGTGTACAACGCCGTCGACGGCGGGGGAGAAGGCGGCGACGCGCTCGGGCAGGCGACCGGCGACTACATGGTGTCCATGGCCCACGGGAAGAACAACAACCCCGACAAGCTCCACGAGGACATCCTCGGGTACTTCGACCAGGCCCTGCAGAAGAACTGGACCAGCGCCGAGCACTGGAGGATACGCAAGATCAAGGACGCCGACAAGCCGGCGGGCCCCACCCGGACGCGGAAGGAGAAGGAGCCGTTCGAGATGGACTTTGCCGCGCCCATGGACCGGACCCTGGCCGACGCGCTGTACACGCAGGCGTCGAGCAACTCGGCCATCTCCATGCCGAAGAAGGACTGGAAATCCAAGTCGCGGAACCTGCTGCCGGACGACAAGCACTTCAACTCGAGGTCGCTGCTCAACCTGTTCCTCAAACCCAAGGCGCGCCTCAGCAGCCGGCGCATCCGCACCGGACTCGGGGGCAACGGCCACAGGGACAACGTTCCCCCGGGGGCCGAGATGGACGAGGCCTTCTGGGCGAACCAGAAGGACCCGGCGGCCCACGGCGGCGGCGGCGCCGGGGAGGAGACGGCGGCGGGGTTCCTGCCGGACGGTGGGGGCTACGACGCCAACTTCTTCCAGGACGACGCGCTCCCCTTCGCCGGCGGGCTGGGCAACGACGACGACGACGACGACGACGACGGCGGCGGCCTCGACTTTGCGGACGCGCGCGAGCAGTTCTCCCCCGGCGTCGAGGGCGAGGCGGGCTTGACCGGGGCTGTGGGCATGACGGCCTTGCTGAACGGGGAGACCGTGACGAATACGATGGGTGCGTTTGGGACCACGCTGGTGACGTCGACGCGGCGCGTGCGGCCTGATTATGTCCAGTACGCGCGGACGGCGAAGAAGGTTGACGTGCGGCGGCTAAAGGAGGAGATTTGGAAGGGCATGGGTTTGGAGCCAGCAGCTACGGTATGCCTTTTTTTTTTTTTTCCCCTTCTTTCCCCTTTTTTTCCTTTTTTCCCTTTTTCTTCTTCTTCTTCCTTTTCTTGGGCTAACCTGACCGTCACCTCTAGAACGCAAATTCATCCCGACTCCTAACCCCGCCACCATCAGGAGAGGCCCAGCCAGAGGTGGACAAGGACAAGACGCTCAAGTTCACCACCGTGATGAATAACCTGCAGTCGGTATACCCGAAGCCGATGATGGAGGATATTTCCACGAGCTACTGCTTCATCTGCCTGCTGCACCTGGCCAACGAGAAGGGGCTCGTCATCGAAAAGACGCCGGAGCTTACAGAGCTTGAGATTCGCAAGGATTGGACGGCGGAGCTTACGGCCGGCGGTGAATAAGTTGGGCGAGGGGTTTTGTTTTTGTTTATAAATTAGTTGGGCTGGGAAGATGATTGTGATGAATAAGGTGGTATGATGGGATGCAGCCATTCTTTTTTTGTTTTTACCTTTTTTTCCAGTCTTATTTGGCCTACGGCATTACAACGTACCTTACCTATGGTGTCGGAATACTATCGGAGCTAGAGATTCTACCTTATTCCATATATTACTCTGCTCTTGGTGGGAGCTGGACGGATCGCTCGAAACCTCCATACCCGATTGCTACGAATTCCTCTGTGTACTGCTATAAGAAGCCGAAGATGAACCACGCCCTGAACAATGTCGTGTATCCTTAAAGTTCTTCGTGTGCGAATAAAGTGTTTGCTTATACTTGTCCTTGTATGTATCCTCTCGTAGCCCTCCCTGCTCAAGCGAGTCAAGCCACTGATGAGAGTAAGTTCTAGGATGAGGCGTCGATAAGACATGCACATTGCTCTTGCCTAAGGTAGCTGTAGGTATAGCCGTTTACTTGCTTTTTCCCTTAGTAAGGTAAGGAGGCATCTGTCATCACGGCTTCTACGACGAGGTAAGGCGCGGTCGGTTAAGTACCTACGAAGTACTTGCTCAGGAAACGAGACAGACACCTGATAAGCACATCTGGCTAGATACCTACGGAGTACCTACTCCGTACTTCACGTAACCCAGCAAGGTGCTGAGGTGGTCATTAGCAGCTAATATGGAAGGCACGGGATGTGAACGTTGAAACGCGATACGAAGTACGTGTACAATCTAAGGGTCCTAAGAGTGGGGCGGACTTTCCGTCATTCTATCGTCATCATGTCATCATTCTCAGGGGTCAGGGCAAGCTTTCATCCTCTCTTCTTTCCAGAGCTACACTGTACCTTAAACGCTCTCCCCCCCATGAACCATCATTTCCTCATTTCCTCATCTTCTTAATTTTCTCATCTTCTTAATTTTCTCATCTTCTTAATTTTCTCATCTTCTTAATTTTCTCATCTTCTTAATCATCTTCTTAATCAACTAAAAAAGTGTGTACCTTTGAATATGATTGGCGAACCCTACTTCGGGTAAGATATCTACAGATTCCAGTACACTCCGTTTCCCTGACAAAAAGACACCACGTTCCAACGCCAGTTGTTCAATGCCATTTTCTTGTCTTTCAAGGCGTCAACGTCGACCTCGCTTTCCCAGTCATACCTAGTAAGAAATATGCGAGGAAATATTGCGAACCCCAAACAAGGGAAGGGCGAAATGTTCCACGACTTGCCCCTCCCCGAGGCGCCATCATAATAACACCTAATCAAGACCCAAAATTGTAGGAAAGTCCCCTGAGAACCTTCCAGAAAACACATACGGGGTATTCAGTTGCAGCCTTTCCCACTTGTATATACCCGTGGGGCAAAGATCATTTTTCGTCATGGGCCGAATCAAATAGAGGAGCAGGTAAGACTTTACTCCTCGCGTCGACCGACAATTTCACCAGCCCTCAAAAGAGCGTTCATCCCATCGAATTCCTCTTTCCCCTTTGTATTCATGTCGTTGTTGCTAACGCCACCGTTGTCGTAGACACTTAGCGAAGTTTGTGACGATGAATGTGACCCGGGCGACGCCTCCGTCACTCCCGACGAACTCGACGACATGTGCTGCAGCCCCGCCAGTGGCGGCCGATGAGCCACAGCTCCGCCCGCTTGCCTGCCCGGTCTGCTGTCATGGCTGCCATTCATGATCCCAGGAGCACCAGGGGGCGGAATGGCGTGCGCGGCCTGTCCGAAATGCGGGAATGGATACTGGTTACCCTGAATCTCCTGCTGCTGTCCGACATAGGAGCCAGGCTGCCCTTCATATCCCGAGTCCGACCCACTCCTGCTCGACAACAATGCGTGGATCGGCAGAGACGCTTCGCTTGGAGTTCGCTGATACGAGAACATGGAGCAGCTGGACGAGCCCATGCTGCCAGTCGAAGGCGATTCGTGCTTCACGAGGGGGCGACCGACGTTTGCCTGCTGCGGCATCTGATGTGGCATCTGCTGCGGCGGCGCCAGTTGTGGCAGGTGTGGCGATGCGTGCTGTTGACCTTGCCCAAACCCGACAAACCCACTGTTCTCGGAAGCCATGCCCATGCCCATGCCCACGCCAGACATCACCTGCCTGTCATGATTAAACATATCCGAAAACGAGGGCAGGTGAAGTTGCGTGTTGTTTTCGGTATTCGCCGGGCTGTTGGACCATGTAGGCCGTCGACTATGGCTGTGTGCGCTGCCAGAGCTGCCATGCGCCAGGGGCGACGGCTCTAGATCGAAGTGCGTGCTCGCGGGCGAGGGCACCATGTCCTCGATGGTTTCCTGGTGAGACGCGTGTGGCATGGATGATCGCACCCGATGCTTCCGAGCGAGAGGCGTATCGATGCCGATGCCGGCATAGCCATCGCTCCCACTACCTGTGCCGTTTGCGCTCTTGGGCGTCGGCGTCGGCGTCGGGGTGGACGAGGGCGTCGGCGTTCCACCGACGCTACCACCATGGTGCAACCTTGCGCCAGGCTCTAGCCTCAGACGTTTTGACGCATCCTTAGCTTTATCCATCACCAGTCAGTCAGCCCGCATGACTCTGCCACAACCCACAAAAGCCACGAAAAGCCTGGAGGAGGTCAAACGAGAGGCATCAGACACGGGAAGTATCTACCTTGGTTTTGGCTTGCTTGCCTTTGTTTGAACTCAAGTAGGTACTGCGCGTATTTCCTATACTCGGGTGTCTTCTTGTACTCGGCCAAGGCTTTGTTGTATTTATCCTTCGCGTTCATGGCCTTCGTCTCATACGGCTCTTTCTCGGCCGGGGATAGGCTCTGCCAGTGCTCGCCCACCAGCTTGGCAATTTCCGTGAAGGTCAAATTACGGCCTTTCAGGTCATCGCGCATTTCTACAACCGTTGTCAGCTACAGGGGGGGAGAGAGGGGGATACAGATGCTTTACGCATGTCGGCATTTCTTTTCACTTACTATTGGAGAAGAGCACGTAGGCCGACGGTGGACGTTCGGGGGCATTCTCGTCCGGCTAGAACCATGTTAACGAATACCGACTGTCAGAGGGTTCAAACGAGAGCGACAATCTTTACCTTCGGATGGCGGCGGTATTTTCGTTTAGTTACGACAGCGGCTCCCTTCCCGTCAGGTCGCACACTCTCTTGTCTCCAGTTCTCTGATCTCACGGCATCTGACCCGGATATTTTCGCCGATAGCAGGGCAGCTCCCGGTGCAAGTCCTCTCGAATTGGCAATACGCCTCTGGAGTTTCTATGTTTCCGGTCAGATTATCAGGTCGACTTAATCAAGTGAGCGGCATTATCATACCCTTCGATGTCCGAGTTTCACGCCTAGAACATCGCTGTGCAACAACGACATTAGCATGCAAGAGACGATGCCAATCACCCAGACGTCTGTCTCCCCCCAATCAATCTCTCCATGGAGGGATGGACTCGACCAGGAAAACTCACAGATCCGATTCAGTAATGTCCAGAATGGTCTCCCAGGTGTCGAAGCCTTGTTCGACGAAAGAGGCCAGGTACTGGGAGATACCCAGCTCCGCGAAGAGTGATTCCAAGCTTGGTGTCATGCAGGCGGTCGGACGGGGTTTCCCACGGACGACAACGATGCTGCGTACGGTCCCAGACGATCCACCTTCCTCCACGATTCGATTGTCAGAAAAATTCCGGCCTTGGACCGGCAGCGAAACTCGACCGGATACCAAGAGTCGAGATTTGTCGCACGGACTGGCTCCGAGGCGGCTCGTCGATCTGGTCTGTTCTATACGCCGTAGGGCGAGAAGGCTCGCTCGTTGAGATCACTTTGCTGCTACTATTTCGGGATCGAACACGCTCGAATATTTGAAACAACCCAAGAGAATGCCCGTCTAGGTCGGTCGTCATGAGGTTTGGCGGTTGTTTGTATTTCGGACCGGTCGGGACGCGGGAGTCTCGTCGTCTATGTTGACCTCCAAGTGCTGTGTTCCGAAGGGAGGGGTGGTGTGTTTTGCGGAAGTAAGGCCTATCAGGAGGTATAGGTCAACATGGAAGTCCTATTCGGAACGAACGACTTGGGTATATAGTGTAGTGTCGGATTCGGTTGGGAGGCGAGGTTGGGAGGCGAGGCTGCAGGTGTAGGATCTCGATGACATTGGGAACTCAGCAGCCAAGTGCCCCAGTTGTGTGGGACGCGCAAGTTGGGAACTTGATATGGGGTACCTTGTGTAAAACACGGTGGCATACGGGAGACTTGATTCGAAAAGGGCACAAAAGCAAATGGGGAGACAAGATTTAGGCCAAATATGATCAACGGATTTCCCACCCCACAGGTAACGACGAACAGCACCGAAACTGAAGAACGGTCCCCTCGACTTACCGGACTAGCGCGTTTCTTCGCGAAACACCTGAGCCGATCAAGGGGAGCTTATTGGCCCGAACGTAGGTCGATTCTTGACAGGCAAGATCGGGGGCGAGTTATTTGAACTGCGGCGCGGGCGATAGGGGAATCACGAATTGATAGTGGCGAGGAAAAGGTTCGTAGTAGATGAGAGAGAGTAGTACTCAAGTCGTTGAGGGCAACAGCCAGTTGATGTACTACCCGGGGATTCGATTCGGTCGGATGGGGTCGCCCCCCGGTCCAAAAAAAGCTGTCTGTGCCAAAGGAGAGGCAAGCGCTGTTCGCTAGTAAGGGACCTGCACGTCTCCCGTGGTGGTAGTTCAGGTTCAGTTCGGTTCGGTTCAGTTCAGTTCGGCGCAAAGCGACACTTTTTGGACATAGCTCTCAGGTCAAGACAAGGGCACACCACACGGGGAATCTATGCATCTTCGCACAAGGGCATGGCCGACTCCAAATACAAAGTATGCAGCTGATCAGAGGAGCAAGACAGAATGGGGGGGGTGTTGGAGTCTAGTCCGGCAACGTCCAAACCCCAAGACCCAGAGGACGGCAACCCAAGGGTGCAATGGCGGTACCGATACAAGCGAGAGGGTACGTTGTACTGAGGTAAGGTAGGCAATCATGGGCAAATCTGCAATAGGGGGAGGGAGGGGCTGAGAAGACAGAAAGGGGGTAAGCCTATCACACTGACACGCATAACTCTGCTGCGGTCGTACCTTAGACAACATCTACCTAGAGAAGATACCTTCGTACGAAGTATTCAAGGGAGAAGGACGCAGACAAATCACAGCAGCAGCCATCACTTAGATCAAACAACGATGAGCATCGATAGGCTGCACCGTTCAACGAACATTTTTTGTTTCTTACCTAAGGTAAATAATAATCATAACATGATGGAAGTCGAAAAACCACATGCAACTACCTACCTCATTCTCTCTTTTCCTTACGCCTAAGAAAAACACGTACTGTACCGGACGAATTAATCTACACGTAACTGCGACAAAACACCGCTACCGTAGCAAGTAGGTAGACCTCAAGCCCGGCGACCGACCGGTCTGGGCCATCTAACACGGCAGGGCAAGGCAGGGCAGGGCAAGAGGGCAGGGCAAGGCAGGGCAGGGCAAGGCAGGGCAGGGCAAGGCAGGGCAGGGCAGGGCAAGGAAAACTCCAATTTTTTATATGAGGGAATAGGTTATTGCCATCCTCTTAATTAAGAAGAAAGACTTGTGTCTGGACCAACAGCCCAGAAGCTGCAACTCGGCAGCAGCCAGGAACACGGAAACACCTGAGGGAACATACCACATGCCACACGTTATTGGAATGGGAATATATGTACAATGTATACACAAAGCTTTATCTCCGATTGCAGAGAACGTTTTTATCGAGTTCCATGTGCCAAGCGGGAAATGACCGTCGCCTCTGTCCTCCCCGACTGCCCAGAATGGGTGAAATATTGGCCATTCTCGATCGTGGTGCAAAAAGTCGATGCCGGTCGCCTTTTCCTCTTGCCGTAACAGCATCTTTTATTTGTACGAAGTACATATTCGTGCGCTAGTGAACCTCTCCTCCCCGCATACGGGGTGCCCTTATCCTGCTGCTGCCTTGACGTACCTAGGTACCTGTGCAGGTATTCTCACTCAGGTACCTTACCTTAGGTACCTTACCTTAGGTATACCTTAAGGAGGTAAGGTACCTGCTCAAGGTACCTTATCTGTCTTCGGTGGTGAGTGGTCTAACCACCAGCATAGAGACTGCACAAGTGGGATGGAAATAGAAAGCTTGCGCAGTCAAGTTTGCGCAGTCGGGATACCGTGTATCATTGAATGACGAGCTGTCAGAAACAACCTTCACACACAGCCCAGGGTAATGGTGATGTATTGGGATATATCGGAACTCGCGAAGGACCTACGGCTTACAACTGACGTAGGGAAGGCACCTAAGTTACGTACAATGTTGAAGAGTGACGATATTCCCTTGCTACTTGCTACATCATTACGCGATATAATGGTAATCCGTTGTTCCGCGGACCAACAAGGCGCTTCCCTCGTCACACATAGTCGGCCAGATAGATGCCTGGCGACAGGTCGGTCGTCACTGTTTTGCATACATTCGCCCATCCCAGCATCATTTCCCCAGCCAGACGTTCGGCGGAACAGAATGCTCGTCTCCCGATGCTGGAACGAGGCCAAGGCTGAGGATCCCTGTTGTACTGCGGCTCCTTCGTTCGCCCTTGGAATTGTCGAGTTTCGAAGGTAGGATGTGGTTATCCTCTGCTTCTCACGCAATACCACAATGTTCGTTATCAAGCTATTATTGCGCAGGTTGAGACAAGGGCATCGGGACAGTAAAGCTAACCCGGTAACCATAGCTTAGGGGTGCAGCACATACGACGTTGTTCTTTCGCGAGCCAGGTACATATAATACTCACCCGTCGTCGTTACGAATACGCGTTGACCTAGTCATTAGAACGGCAAACAAAATGGGAGCTTCGAATAAGATGACGCCGATGACGTAAAGAGTGTGTATTGTTTCCGATGCTAATTACCCTCGATGCGTTAAAAAAAAAATGAAGGTCGATGGCAAACCGCATGGCGTGGCTGGTCTCGCCCTTTTGTCTCGAAAACCCCATCCATCGAGAGATCGGAATGTCGTCGAAAACCCAGTCCAAGGGGCTGAAAATCGCACCTGATTTCTCGATTACTACACGTTGTAGCTATCGAGAAAAACCGATGCGCAAGGGGGTCCCCACAAGAATTCTCAAAGTCCCAGACGTTATTTACACGTGTACGAAGCACATACTTCGGGAAGTTAGGTACAATGCATCAAAGTGCCCAACTCCACAGCGCGCTAAATAAACCCGTAGGACGCACTAGCTGTGACACGCAAGGCAGGATGACAGAATAATGGTCCGATTTCCACTTTCCCATGTTCAACTGCTCTGGTAAAACGGAGAGCAGTGCTGCCGGGACCCAACCGTGAAGGGGGAACGGCGGGACATAGGACTGGATGGAGGTACGTTGTACATAAGCGGTAGGGGTGGAAGGCAAGGTGGGGGGCGGGGTGGGGATATCTTTGGCAATGAAGGGATAGGAAAATGGGCAAAGTGCGATCTCGATGATGGGAAAACGACACGGGAGGATTGGATAAGAAAGATGGAGGTTCGATCGCATGGAAAAAGGGGTAAAATGGCTAATCACTCGCTCCTTTCGGCTTGGGTACAGATACAAGTCTTTTTTATTCTTCTATCTTTTCTCCGGGGCCATAATTAATCCGATGCCCGTCCCACTCTGTGCTTCTTCAACGTGTATGGGATCGAGATCGTGGCAAGGGCCGAAGGAAAGAGTGCGGGATGATCAGTTTTACGACGAAGGTGGTCGTAGGTGTACAGCTGGGGGTCAGTCCCATGGCCAGCACACATCCGAAAGGATAGGATGCGACAGGTGGCTGCTATTATTTTCTCCGCAGGCTACTGCATTCTCCTGCATTAGAAGACGAAAAGATGAGGGCTCTGGACACTATAGGGCAAGTCTCTCGAAGGCGAGAGTTTAGAACAGTGCTGGGAGGAAGACGATACATCGGGACTGAAGTATAACGATCCTGGAATTCCGTGTCCAAAGTACACTTTGACGTGGTATCCCGTCCCCCCCCCCCCCCCCCCCCCCCCCCCCCCCCCCCCCACGGGGGGGGGGGGGGGGGGGGGGGGGGGGGGGGGGGGGGGGGGGGGGGGGGGGGGGGGGTCCTTTATGCTTAGCTTCGGTTCGAGTGCATCATTACGGCGGTTACTCGGTCTGCATTGGGACGGTGGATGAAGCACGGTAGGAGCTGGTTTGGACTTATCTCGAATCACGGCGGTGACGGGTCATATGAGACAAGACGAGGGGACGAGAGGGACTGGTGATCATGGACCCTGCGCATTCCCAGTCAACGAATCAGAATTAGTATGTAAAAATAAAAATAAAAAAAGCCAAGGTGAAAAGGAATAAGATTAATGGAGAATGCTGTCTGTCTACGTGTACATACAAAAGCAGTTCATAGTGAAATGAGCGAAAGAGAACTTTTTTTTTATAAAAAAAAAATTACAAACCGAACGAACATACAAAGAAATGCTCGGAGGCGGATTCGAACTGCCGTCAATGCAGTATTGTAGTAGGAACCACAATGCATCATCCTAACCAACTAGACGATCCGAGCTGTCGGATTGTTGAAAAGATGATATCCTAATCCAGACTAAGACCCTTTGCTCTTGTGCGTACAACGTAAATACTCCACAGGATGGATGAGGGGTAAGGGGCTATGGTCCCGCGCTTATGTAATACCAAGGCAGCGTCTCCTCTTTCCCCGCCCTTGATATTCCTACATCTGGTTCTCAAGATACATACGATGCTAGCTCGCTCACAAGAAGAGCTGTGTCCTATCAATCCCTACCTTCACTCGACGTCCATGTCTCATGGTTCAAGGCTTTAGGCTAGGCAACCTTGGGCACGTGAACTACACACAACCATTTTCTCTCGCCCGATAGAACCGACCCTTAAAGCTTCCTATCCGGACCTGCCTGCCTGCCCAACGCCGGGACGACCCCATCTTCTTTTCGCTTCCTTTCCAGGGACGTTGAAAGATCAGATTCATCTCACGGCTTCGTCCCGGCCACGGTGTTCTTGGCCAGCTCATCTCATCTCACACCCCAGTGAGGGTTGACCAGGGGGTTTTGCTTCTGGACTCGTCGAGATCTCCAAGTTTCCCTCACCGAAAAAAAAAAAATAAGAAAAGGGAACAAAAAAAATCCCGCCCGTCCATCCGCCTTTACCGCCTCGCTTTCGCCTTTTTCAGCTTCTATTACTCCGTACAGCCCTTTCAGCGGTCATCGGGTCGGGTGGGGAAAAAAGGAAAGAAAAAAGAAAAAAGAAAACCCACCTCCTTAAAAGCTCATGGCGCCTTCTAAGGAGCTCGAGCCCGGCTCCCCGACCGGCGGTGGGCCTCCTCCCACGGACAAAACCAATACCAGCAACGCCAGCACCAACGCCGCCAGCTCCGAACCCCAGGTCTCTAGCAACGACTTTGCGCAAGTAAGTAGGGGTTTTTTTTTTTTTTTTCGCTTTGCCTTCTCTCTTGTCGATCTCAGCCTCCCCCTGGCTCGGTCAAGCTTGTCTACCCTTCCCCGGTCTCTCCCTCTCTCTTTTAATTTTGTTTTATTTTTGCTGCCTGTTTCTTATAGTCCCCCAACCACGGCACCCACGGCACCCCCTTCCCCTCAAGAGCCCTATCTACCTTATCGACCTATTCCCCGTCGCCCCCAGTCCCCAAGTCCCGATCTTTCGGTCAATTCAACTGCAGGGACATGTTCACAAGCCCCTGATTGTCTCTCTCCTTCGGGAACCCTTCCCCCACTCATGCTTTTCCCCCCCGTGCACGTTGTACCTAGATGTGTGCCGCGGACTACGCCCACGCCCTCTTCACCGTCTTCCACCCCTTTCTCATCTGTCTCCTCAGTCGTCCGTAGTGGGCGCGGGGCCCTGCAAGAAATGGATGATTTTTGAGGTCTGGGCTGTCGTGGCTGCTTTTCACCTGCAGTTATCGGGTGACCTTTGGGCATGCGACTGCGACCTGTCTCTTGTCATCTGGGGGCCCAAGAGGAAATAGAGAGGGAATAGGAGGCTCAAGGGGGCACCACTTAATGGATATTGGATGCATCCAATTCACAGCGGTTCCCCTGGGGCCTAGGTCTTGCAGGGAAATGGGACCTGATTCTCATCTACGAATATTTCGTCGATCGGGAGCTTAATCGCGTGGCATATTTCCTTTTTTTTTTATATTTTTTTTTTCACTTTGACGTTGCTACTCTACTCCTCTTCGAGTTTTGTGCCCTGGCTAACATGGTTGGTTCTTTCCTTATTCAGGCTTATAGAGAGATTACCAGGTAAGGGGTAGAAGCCTCTTTTTCGTTTTCGTCTTTTCAGGGGGAGAGGAATTAATTCAATTCCCATCTTCCCCTACCCGTCACCCGCACAACTCGACCACACCGAGCGGTGAACTGGAAGTGGTGCGCGGTGCTTGAAGCGAATGCGACACACCAGGGGTGGGTTGTGTTCTCCATATCCCGTACACTTCACCGTCCAGCGCCGTCCGGCTCGTTGATGGCTTCATGTGGCGTGTCCGCCATTACTTCATCCGTGTCGTCGACGACACCCTTTGCCGATCCAGACCACAGGATTGTTCGCGAAATGCCATCCTCCTCCCTCTCGACATGTCCAGGCCCATGTGCCATTTCCCCATATATCCATCATGGCACTTTTTTTCCACGATTTCCCGCTCTTCGAGTGACACAACCGAAGCGAGATTCGATATCCGAAACTCACCCAAGCATCGTATTTGCCGGTCTCTTTCTCTTGGCCTATGCCCATCACCTCAGCTCGCTTAGGAGCCTGTCAGGCATCTCCCTCGAAATCCAGCACTCGGCTTGTTCCAGTATCCAACGGATCCTCGCAAAGAACAAACTACCCTGACGAGTCCACGCCTACCAACAAGATGCAAGAGGTTTGGCGAGACACTTATCGAGCGGGAGGTGGCTTGCCCGGCTGCTTACGCCAATGCATTAAAAACACCTCTCCCGATTTCGCTTCGGATTCCTGACCAGGGATTGCGACAGGGCTGTCTGTCAAGTGTCAGGCGTGCTTGGGTTAGCTCAACTTTCCCGTACAAACGCGACTAGCTGTTTTGTGCATTGCCAATCCTTTTTTTCTTTTTCCCACTTCTTCTTTTCTTTGGGACTACCGTAAATTACGTCTTGCGTCTTGGGACCCGTTCTGCTCGGGACGTGCCGAGCGGAGTGATCTCCGGCCGTGGTTCTAGGCAACCCAATACTTGCCCCCGGGCCTCGGGCCAACTTACCATTTATGGCTGCACCCCTCCATGCTTTCATCAAGTGCCTTGCAGACACTGAATATGGAAAATGACCTCATGTGTCCTGTATCCTGCGTCCTGCGCCCAGTGGCCCAGGCAGGGCCAGACCCAGGACCGCCCGCCCGCCTTAGTGGGTAGGGGGGGAAAGGGTGCCGAGGGGGGACGGATGCACTTTCAGATCGCCGATCACCCAGTCTAACCACCTACGTCTTCTTAGAGGTGAGCAAGCCGCGACAGCTCTGGAAGCGAACCTGTCCAAGCTCGAGAGCAAGCTCGACGAACTACTCGCCGGATTCACCGACCCAGAGTCCCTCCGCGCCCAGCTTGCTGCTCTGGACACCGGGGACTCGGAACCTGTAGGGTCTAACCGGGAGAAGAATACGAAGAACACGGAGGAAGAGAGCAACAATGGCCCCTCGAAGGGCGCGGATGCGGGTGGTGCCCAGTGAGGGGACATTGTGAGGTTGAAAATGCGCGATGCTGAACTTGATTCTCCCGGAATTCGTCATTGTCTCAGTTCGTTCCATAGATCATTTTACCCAAGCCAGGAGGAGACCAGTAGACATAGCACCATACCACCAGGTGAGGGGGGAGGTCCCATGGACAGTTAGGCGGTGATTGTGATATCCAATAGACGAGTCGAGTTCAGCGGGTGTGGTTACTGCGGTCATTACATCCTACCTTTTCTACCTTGGCGTCCACGTCTCATCCATCTTTGCGTACCTATTTTCAAAGGGGGGGGGGGGGGGGGGAAAAAGAAAAGAAAAAAAGGAAAGAAAAAGAAGAGAAAAAAAGAAAAAAAAGAAAAAGAAGAAAAAAAAGAAAGAAAAAAAGAAAAAAAAAAAGAAAAAAAAACCCTCTGCGCTGACCATACCTATTCGTACGACCGGATATTCCCACAGAGCCAAGGTAGCCAAGGTAGCCAAGGTAAGTAGCTGGGATGCTACACCGACACAAAACGTCGCGGAATGACCACCGACTCCCCAGGCCACCCTTCTCCTGGACCAAACCCCGATCTACAGATGATTTGCCGATTGAATGGAATTTTTAGCATAAAGTAGGATGCTCATCCTCCTTTCTTTCCCCGCCACACCCTTCCCCCTTCCCAGTCTCCATGACACAGCATATGTACGAGATCGGGGTCAATCGGGGCTCTCCTCTGTTTTCCTTATCATATGAACACGCTGTCAAGGAGAAATCGTTGGGAGATACAGTCAGTGGGTGAGCAATAATTTCGGTATATTTTAAAGATCCAGTGATTCGTTACTTTTGCAACATCATATGGGTTTTGCCCTAACAGAAACGTGTTCCCCAAAAGGTTCGAAGCATTCTACTTTACCTTAGGTTATCCCGAAACTTTTGCTCACTCACTGTACATCCGTTCGTCTTGGGTGTCTGTCTGTCCGTGTGTGAGGCACCAACGGCTCCTTTCGCCCTTCTTCTCCCCTTGCCTATCCGGGGCACCCGTGATATCATGTGTCCACCGAGCATGTCACGGATGGACAGACACGAGTAACTGGACTGGACAATAGTGGGTGACGAGAGTTGGATTGTCAGAGAATTCCGGGACTTCCAAGCAGGCAGGTTGTTGCAATCGTCGTTTGAGGCGTATGTCTGTATCATGGTCATTCAAAATCACAAGCATGAGGTTCAGCAAGAGTCGTTATGAAGGATAGCAACGCCCTGAATGTTCATAGACGGACCAAAATAATATTTCAATTCCACAGGATCAGTCGCGAACCACTCCAATAAACGCCCGACCAAACCCGCTGCTGGATAACTCGTGTAAGTCCCAGATAATCCCTCACCTCCGTTTCTTCTTCCTCTTCTTCTCCTCCTCCTCCTTGTTATTCTCTACTAATACCCCTTTCTCAATGTCATCCGCCCCGCCCTCGCACCCATCTCGTCCATCCCAAACCGATGGTAGAATTACAACATAGGTACTATGAGCGAAACCGTCCAGCCAAGACAATAAGAGAAGCATCACACTTGCTACCTGTCATCCAGTCCGAAAAACAGGTATCGAAAGTGGAGAAAAGAAGAGGATAATCGTAAATCCTTCCTCAGAAAGAAGACAATAGTCGTTCGTGATTCCCCTGTTCCTTGGCGTCCCCATCTCATGCGAGAGCCCCGATACCAAAAACAAAGAACATAAAAAAATGAAAATAAAAGCTATGACGCGCGGAGCCATCTACTGCTCATGCAGTGTTGTTTAGACGCAAAAACGCTGATGCCGACATGATGGAAGTCGAGTCTTAACAGGATCTAGTGCTTGACCGTTTCGGGTGAGGTTTGGAATCCATGACGGTGATGAGATGACGGGTCGTCATCGTCACAGTGGTGTTCCAACCCCTCCCCCCGTCTTGAAAGAGATCGTGTAGTGTGTATCGTGTCATGCCGTGTCGTGTGCAGAGTTCGCGCTCGACCAAGCCCCTTACATGTCCACATGATAATACATACTACGCTGCATCCAGACCGTGGTGGACCAGGACCACCAAGGGTCAACGTAGTGGGCGAGGGGGATGGAGGGCTGGAAGGCGTCTTTCTAAAAATCTGTGCCGCGAAGAGGGCCTTCAAAGGGCCAGGGAAGTCCCCGGCGGTGGGAAGAAACGGCACGGGCTGACATTACCATGTCAACGTGTATACCATGTTTTGCCGTGCCTGCGTTTCATAGGCGGGGACATTTGCTGCTCGAAGGTGCCTCGTCCTCATCGCGTGACGAGCCATCCGGCGTATGTCGCCCCTTGCGCTTTTCTCCTCGCGGCGCCTCATCCTAGGTACTATGTGACCTAAACTGTTGGTACTGCAAGAGGGGCGAAAGAACGTCGCGGGTTAGCTTAGTCCTGTCACGTTCTGTCGGGGAAGACAGAAAAGAGAGTCATGTCAGGTAACAAGGAAAATATATAGAAAATACGCACCCTCGTGATGGGGTCTTGCTGATCTGCTGTGACCAGAGCCGGGCTTCCCGCGGCCTGGCCTTCCAGTGGTTCCCTTGAAGTGAACGCTCTAGTTTCCAGGGGGGGCCGCAGTGCAGATGTCGAGGCCGCCTTACCGTCCTTCGGCTTGATGGCCATCTCCTTTTCCCTGTTCTTCTCAAGGAGTTGCCCGCCTAGGGTGGCGCACTTCAGGATCGTCTGGATAAGGTGGTTCTGTTGAAGGGGCTTGGACAGATACTCGTCCATCTGCGCCTGGATGCACTTCTCACGATCACCCATCATGGCGTGCGCCGTGAGGGCGATGATGGGCGTCCGGTGTGGACCCACGCTCCTCTCGTATTCCCTGATCTTCGCCGTTGCTTCAAATCCTCCCTGCGATGCTCTGTCAGTGACCCGACTCCGTAGGGGTCCCGTACTAGGGCTTTGGGTGATAACCAGGAAAGGCGGAGAAACAGAAAAACATACCATGATAGGCATCTGAACGTCCATCAAGATAACATCGAACCTCTTCTTCTTGACCATGTCTACAGCCTCAAGGCCGTTGCCGACGACCGTGACGACGTGGTGATACTTCTCCAGGATCTTGACCGCGAGTCTCTGGTTGACTCTGTTGTCTTCGGCCAGGAGAATTTCGAACGACTTCGTATTGTCGGTGAGCGACGGCGTGGCACGGTTCTCCAGTGCGGGAATCATCCCGTTGCCCAGGTCGACCGGGTTGCAAGGCGTTGTCATATACGAGGTGATGCCGAGGTCCAGACAGGCCTTCAAGTTCACGTGGACCACGGGCGCCAGGAGCACGATGGGGAGGTACTTGAAGTCGTCGACAGACCTTAGCCTCCTGGCCGTGTCGATCGAGTCGACTATGATCACGTCGTACGGCATCGAGGCTGCGCCACGAACACTCTTAAGCATCGGGCTCTTCTCCGAGTCGACGACGACGGGGATGAAGCCAATCTCGGACAGCATCTCCCGGATGTCGCCGCCGTACGAGGTCTGCGCCTTGTCCACAAAAAGGACCTGGTGGCCCTTGTACGTCTTGATCTGCTTCTTGATGGATTCGAGACCCGTCTCGCAGAGCCGAACGCGACAGGTGAAATGGAACTCGCTTCCTTGACCCTGGTTGCTGTTGACCCACAAATCACCTCCCATGAGCTTAACCAGCCGCTTGGAGATAGACAGGCCCAGTCCGGTGCCACCGAACTTGCGCGTCATGGATCCGTCGGCTTGCTGGAAGGTGTCGAAAATGAGGTCCAGCTTGTCCTCTGCGATGCCGATGCCCGTGTCCGTAACCACGAACTCGATGGCATACTGGTTCGGCTGGCAGGGGAACCGTTTCGTGTCAGCCTTCTTGATGGTCAGGCTGACCTCGCCGTGTTCGGTGAACTTGATGGCATTGCCGACGAGGTTGAGGATGATCTGCCGGAGACGGAAAGGGTCGCCAATAACGTGGTCCGGAACCGAGCTATCGACTCTGTATGTAAGATCCAAGAACTTCTCGTTGGCCTTCACAGCCAGAGTCTTTAACGCATTGAACACGATTCCACGGGGCGTGTAAGGGATCTCCTCGATAACCATGCGCCTAGCCTCGATCTTGGACAGATCCAGAATATCATCGATGATCGTCAGCAAGCTGTTTGCCAAGCTGTTCACGATGTTCAACATCTCTCGCTGATACTGGGTCAGGTCGGTATCAAGGGTCAGTTGCGTCATGCCGATGATGCCGTTCATGGGGGTTCGGATCTCGTGGGACATGTTGGCCAGGAACTCCGACTTGGTCTTGTTGGCCAGCTCGGCCGCCTCCCTGGCCTGTGTGTTCCTCTGGATACTATCCCGCAGGTTGGACACCATCTGATTGATCTTCCGCTTGAGCTCGTCCATCTCGCCAGACGCCTCGACTTCGACCAGCTTGGTGAAATCACCATCGGTGGCGAGATTGGTAATGTCGGAGAATGCGCGCACTTGTGTTGTAAGATTGCTGGCCATGGTGTTCACGTCCGACGTGATTTCTCTCCACCGACCGTTCAGGCCGGCGACGTCAGCCTGAGCACCCATCTTCCCGTCCACGCCCACGTCCTTGGCGACCCTCTGCACCTCGTTACAGAAATTAGACAGGCGGTCGACCATGTTGTTGATGGTCTCCTTCAAGACGCGGATTTCTCCCGACGCCTCGACTTCGATCTTCTGACTCATCTCGCCGTTCGCAATAGCCTGGGTGACGGTCGAAATGCTTCGCACCTGAAGAGTGAGATTGGAAGCCATGGTGTTCACGTTTTCCGTGAGATCCTTCCACTTGCCCTCGACGTTTTCGACCTTGGCTTGGCCGCCGAGGGTTCCGTCGGTGCCGACCTCCCTGGCGACCTTGCTGACTTCGAAAGCGAAAGTGCCGAGACGGTCAACCATGGTGTTAATGGTGTTTTTGAGATCCAGAATTTCACCCTGGACCGGCACGCCGATCTTCTTGGTGAGATCTCCCTTTGCTACGGCCGTCGTGATCCTGGCAATTTCGCGCACCTGCGTTGTCAGATTCATGGCCATGCCGTTGACGTTCTCGGTCAGATCCCTCCAGGTGCCCTCGACGTCGTGAACAGTGGCTTGGCCGCCGAGCCTGCCTTCCGTTCCGACCTCCCTGGCGATCTTGGTGACTTCACGGGCGAACTGTTGCAGTTGGTCGACCATAGAGTTAATGGTGGACTTTAGCTCAAAGATCTCGCCCCGGCAGTCGGCTTGAACCTTTTGCGTGAGGTCACCTTTAGCGACGGCAGTCGTGACCTTGATAATATCGCGCACTTGGGTCGTGAGATTGTTGGCCATGGCGTTGACGTTTACGGTTAATTCGTTCCACATGCCCTTAACACCTTCGACGTCGGCCTGACCGCCTAGGATACCTTCGGTACCGACGTCACGAGCCACGCGTGTGACCTCCGAGGCAAATGTCCGCAGCTGGTCCACCATGGTGTTGATCGTCTGCTGAAGCTGCAAGATTTCGCCTCTGGCGGGCCGTTCAATTTTCTTGGTCAGGTCGCCGTGCGCGACGGCTGTGGTGACGGAGGCGATCTCACGCACTAACAAACAGGATGGTCAGACGAAGAGGCGAGGGAAAAGAAGAAGCATGAGGGGAAATGCAGGGATAGTGCTCACCTTGATCCGTTAGGTTTTGGGCCATGACGTTGACTGGTGCAAACGGCGGTCAGTGAGTCATTACAGCGAGGATGGAAAGTAGCGAACAGAAGAGACCGCGAGTGAATCAAGAAAAGAGAAAGAAAAGAAGGGAAAAAAAAAACATACCATTGTCTGTCAACTCCTTCCAAGTTCCATCGACGCCTTCGATGCGAGCCTGACCACCAAGCAAACCCTCGGTACCGACCTCGCGGGCGACGCGGGAGACTTCGCTGGAGAAAACTTGAAGCTGGTCCATCATAGTATTGATGGTCCTCTTGAATGTAGTGATTTCGGGGTCCATCTCGACCGAGTTCATGCGGACCTTCTTGGACAGATCACCGCGGGCGACGGCGGTAACGATCTCACCAATCTCCCGGAGGGCCTTTTGGAAGGCCTCGTTGGCCTTTTGATGTTTCCATAGTTCCCGTTCGAGCCTGGCGACGCGGTCCTGTTCGATTCTGGAGAAGGCTTGCTCTTGCAGCTCCTTCTGCTCGAGCAGCTGGGCGCTGACGCTGGAGATCTCCTGCCTAGCCGTGCTGATGCCTTTCTCCTGATCCAGAACCTTTTCCTGCAGGCTCTCCAGGGCTGTATCAGTTAGTACAATCTCGCGACTGCCGGGTTCGACCTTTGTACCTTGTCGATGCAGGGCGGACCTCGAAAGAAGCCGACCGTCAGTGGGGGAGGTGCCGGTCGAGTCGTCTTCACAGAGGGAGTCAGTAGTCTCGTTGGGGGTTTCTGGAAAGGCGGCGGCAGCCTGGGCTCTTGTTTCTAGTCCTCCGATTCTCTGGGACAGTCTAGCGAGTTCGATCTCTAGGGCACGCTTCGCTGGGGTGTCTCGGCCAGGTAGCTCGATCCGTGCGGTGTCTTTCTGATAGGGAAGAGCGACCGGGTCGTTCTGGTGTTCTATGGCGAAGAAGCGTATAATGTCGGCCGCGGCGGCCAGAGCCGAGTCGTCAACCATCTTTGTGTTTTTTATTTCTCCTAGCGAAATGCACAAAATGCTGCCGTTGTCCCGGTTGATAGCGTTTGGGCCGAGGAGGGCGAGTCTATGAAAAACAGATCGGGCTAAAGGGTGTGATAGATATTATGGGGTTGAGGAGTCGACAGTGTTCAGGTTTGAGGGATTTCGGGTCGGGCGGTAAGTGATTCAATTCAAAGCGTCGAGGCAGCTCTGCAGCATGTTTGAGAACTGAATGAAAGCGAAGGCAGACACGTCTACAAGGGAGACACGTCGCCGTGTATTGGCCCCGGATAGAGGGCAATAGGCGGCTGCTTTTCGACAACTTGAGCTTTTCCAGCTGATGCAATAAAAAGTGGTTGTGGTAGGATACTGAAGGAAAAGTCTTGACCGCGACACGGCGAAATGGGGCTGACGAGAACCTTGGAAAGGTGGAAGGGTTTGAGGGGAGAGTATTTCGGTAACGAATCCAGCCCCAGAAACTGATAACAAACAGGAGAGGTGGGCTGGGAGAGATGGGGTGGAGGTGAGGAGAGGACGACCTGGGCAGAAGCGGGCGGAGCAACCGGGGGGCGCAAAAGCACGAGAAGTTAGTACGAAGGTACCTTATGGAGCGAATACATAGGTACGTACGAAGGAAGCAGGTAATACCTACTTCGTACACAGTGGAGGAATCGGGATCACACTGGCTAAGGGAGCCGCGACTGGTCCGTGCATTTGAATAGTTCTGGGCTTGCGGGCTGACATTTGTCGTTACTTGTTACTTGTAATTATAATTACCGGACGGACCTTTGCGATTTTGAGCCTGGCAATGTCCAAGGACAAGTCAAGAAAGTTCTAGACCACAATGCCGATTGGGGGCAAAAACTACGGGGTACATGTATCATGGAGGAAAATATGAGAAGACGAGTAAAGGTACATATTGCAAAGGTCATATGTAGCTACGTACTCTGTAGCAAGAGAAGTGGCACGAAGTAGGTCTCGACAAGGGCCTCGACATGGATCGGAGAATGGAGGCACTTGGGATGGAGACGGGACAGGAGAGATGGTTGGTCGACCGTGCATGAAGCGGTGGAGGACTTTGTTCGATCACAAGAAAGTCAAGACGGGGGCAAGAATAGCCATCCGTACGTACACTAATATCGTCCTGGATTGCTTCGGTGGGTGTCTTCTGTACAAAGTACTTCGTACGAAGTATCCGTACTCATGTCCGTACTTAGGTAATCACCGCTTGTTCTTATAAGGTCCTCCCTAGGAGGAATGAGGCTTCCATTCCCTTTCCTTCCTAGTTCGCTCACGAGCTTATTGGCTAGGTAAGTCTAGGCTGTTTCTCGGCGTCGCTCCACAGCGAGGAACAATTGGCGAATATACCAGATATGTGGACCCACCCCCACAAATCAACAGTTCCTGACTCGGTTAAAGCAGGCCCATTAAGGACTAGCCTGCTTCACCAGCCTTGTCCGCCCACTACACCTCTGATAGGAGCAGAAATATTAGCTCGAGACTTTGTCCTATGTCTTGACTGGATTAGTACTTAGAAATAGTACTAATCTCTTTATACATAGTTGTACTTTTACTTATAAGGATCCCCTATTACCCTAGCTAGTTATATCAAATTGTATATACTCTAATATTCTTAGTCCTAGAGGAGTGTATACGGGAGTACGGGTCCGTGTTAGGGCAGGACTATCTAAGTAGAGTTAGCTCTCCCCTCAGTTATAGCTATCGACTATATACACCTCTGCTAGAGTTTAGTAGGTTAGCGTATAACGATTCCGACTATATTAACCTGATAATCCGACTATAGTGCAGATGTTAACACCTGCTATAACTAATAGCTAAGCCGGCAGCGCTAAATTAATTCTTACGCCTATAACGCCTAGGCCGTGGCCGTAGTATAACTAGATAAAGACGTAGTGGCACCAGATCGTCAAGACAAAGATCAGACAAAGAGGTCAGTCCAGCGAAACCACGATATATAACCAAAACATAACTAACACCGCTATAACCTTTAGCGAAGAAATAGGTCGGTAGTCACTATTCTGATTAGGGCGATGTAAGTTAAGCTAGAAAGATACCTTAAACGTGGAATAAGTAATTACAAAAGAGGATAATAATTATATATTAATCCCTTAATAGGGATATCCTAAGCCCATCCTTAATATATATATAGGTAGCGGATCCAGCGGCCTTAAAAGGGGGGTTATATAACCGTCTGCCGAACCACTCTAACGCCGTATCTGCGCGGTTATAATACGGCCTTAGTTATCTTAATTACGCCCTCGTAGCGTAGATAACTCCTAAAAATAAGCAGATATTAGTAAATAAACTAAGTAAAGAGCTATCGTATACCTTATTTCTCTAATCACCCCGTCCTCCACGTATACCTGATTAGGGATCCTCTTAGTTCTAGTTCCTCCGTATATACTATTCCCTTACTATCTCCACCGACTATTTCCTCGAGATATTTCTTATCTAATCCTCTATATATACCTCTACTTACGCTTTCGTAAGGTTCTTCCTCTAACTATATAGTTAGACTTATTAGCCTTCCTAGCCTCTTAATTAGCGGTAGCCTTATCTGCCTTCTATTTAATCCCCGCGTTATAATAAAGCTATTCTTCCTAAGGTATAGCCCGAGGCGGCGGTAGATATAGCGTGCTATTAGCCACTATGTTATAAAGGCCTACTCGGTATAGGTTATTAAAGGACTTAACCTATTCTTCCTTAGTATATAGGCTTAGCCTAATAGGACTAACACGCTTAGCTAAAGGCCGTATATCTACGAGTCTATAGTAAAGCAGGTAATAAGATATCTCTATACCCTTAGCCTAATACTTCGCCTCCTTTTTATATTTATCTTAGATATCGTAACTCCTCTTCTTTAAAGCGGTAGAGGGTTTAGAGGCCTTTAGAGTCTTAGGCGTTTTAGGTATCTTCGGTATCTTTAGGGGCGGCGTTTTCTTAATAGCCGGCGGCGTCTGCTTCACGGCTTTCTTACCCTTAGATGTTTAGAGCTCGAGACTACCGAGACCTACGTTATCGACGTTACTACTACTATCGGATAACACTAAGGGGTCCTAGAAACTCTGGCCGGACGAGTTAGTAAGGTCTATAATCTCGGGATTAGGGGAACCAGTAAGGTTAATAGACTCTTCCTTAACTTTAGGTGTCTTAGGAGTCTTAGGACCCTTAGGCGGGTTAACCGGTATCTATTTCTTAGTCTTATTAATAGGCTAGAATCCAGTTATCTTAGGGGCCTTAGGAGGCGGCGTCGCGGGCTTTATAGCTAGTTCTATATAGTAACCGAAGCTAACGAGTTCACTAATATAAATCACCTAGCCTTCTTTAATATACCGAGTATATTCCCCTATATTATTCCCGTAATAGCGATCTTAAGTAAACCTATAAATCTTAGAGCTTTAAGGGAATAGGTATCCCTCTTAGACTAAAGCTCTAATCTATTCTATAATAAAAGAACTATATAAGTAACCGTCTAGCTATATAGGGCTAGGGATAATATAGAACTTTTTAGCTATACTATTAACGGCTTCTTTAGGAGCTCTAATAAAAATTATCCACTATATCGTAAGACGGGCGACTTTAAGGAGGCGTTATTTACCTTTACCGTTAGACTATATACTATTATACCTATATATAATCTAAGTCTCTTAATCGATAATTAGACTAATAAAATAGTTACCGTTAATATAGTAGATTATAGGGACGAAGCGGCTGGTTTTAGTATATTACCGCGCCTTATCGGAGAGAGTTATAAACTCCGCCTTACCCTTAGTATCTATTCCCTAGCACGGAATCTTATTAAGGAATACCATAGGCCTTAAATCCCCTTACCTATAGCTAACTACCGCACTTATCACTTTTGCTATAGTGCTTTTCTCTTACTATCTATTAGCCTTAATATCTTTACGTAGCCGGTAGGCTAATATTAAAATAGAACGGACCTTAAGATATCCTTCGCTATATAAGATTATTAAAGGCGATTATAATACGGCAAGCCCTACAGCCTCTACGTCTAACCCGTTATTCTTATTCTTATCCAGGAGTCCCTAAACTATCTACTAGCCGTCCTTTAAGATAGCTCTAAACCTAGTATAAGGGGTATCGTTATCTACGGCCTTAAAGAGGCAGTGCGGTAAACTACTTACTAGGAACGCCTACCTGCTTTTCTTAGGGTTATACTTCTTACGGGGCCTAGTGCTTAACTCGATAGCAGTCCGTCCCTTAGGCTAAATACTCTTATTCAGGTCTAAGTCCTTAGGGGCGGTGGCCTAGTAGTCTATAGAGTTATTAGCGGCTATAGCGTTAATATTTATAGAATTTAGTATCTACGGTTACTTACGTTACCCTAATTAGGGTTTTTAGTAATAATTCCTTATAAAAAAAAAGAGAGAAAAAGGGAAGAAGGGACGTTCGGGGGGGGAAACAAGGAGATCGAAATAGCGGAAAAGGGGTAAAATATAATAGGGAAGAATAGGTAAGCCTAAGTCTATAAGGAAATATCGAAGGGGGGGGAGATTAGGATTAAGGCCGAGGAGGGTTTTAATTATCCTCCGAGGACCTCTTCTAAAGGCTCTTCCCTTTAAGTAGGAGTCCTTAGCTTATAACTGTAGCTCGAACGGTCTTTTAGTCGTTAAAGGAGGTTATTTCCTAAGTCGTGATAAAGATAGCCTTTATAAAATCGGAAAGAAGGTGCTAAATTAGGAAATCGATATTAAAAACGCTTACTATAATTAGCTAACTGGCTTCGGCGCTTATTATAATTAGCTAGTAAATATCTAATGAGGCTCTTCGTTTATTATTAGGTAATAAGCGGAGTTATAATTCCATAATAAAGGAAAATAAAAGGAGGTAGCTATAAATAGCTATAAAGAAAGGTTAAATAATCGTGATTACTTCGTTAAAGACGCCTCTCTTAACTTATAGAAGCTATAAGCCGCTTAGTTAACGTCTCTACTTATCTATCTCTTAAATATAAAAGATATAGGATCCCCGGCTCTTTATTCCTCTTCTTCTAAGTAATATCACTACTTCTATAGTTATCTTTACTAATAGCACTATCACTATAATAACTTCCTAACTTCTCGAACGTATACTATAGCTTTTAAG